AGACCAATCCCTGATTGAATAATGAATGAATGAATGAATGACCGCATAAGGCCTCAGGCCTTGGTACAAGGACGAGTAGTGCCTTTCTTCCCTTTCTTCTATGCTTCCATCCTTTTTGACTCTTCCCCTGCTTTCATGAAACTAGTTTTCTAGTCCTTCCAGGTTGCCCTGCTGTGGGGGGAGGGGGAATTTCCCCATCCTTCACTACCTTCTACCTAGTATTCTTTTCCCAGTGCCTTAACTATAGCAATTGACTTCATACTACTGACCTGACACCTGTAGGTACCAGTTCGGGGCAAAAAAGAAGATCCATCCAATATTCTTTCTGCAATATTTAATTTCTGCAGTTGACATTTTTCCCTTTTGAATTTTTTTGATGCGCAGAAAATCTCTCCATCTGGATCTGGATTTCCTTTTCCCTTTTTTTTTTTTTGCCTACCGGTACGTACAGTTGCTGGGGAATTAGGTTATGTACTCGTACAGTACAGATGTATGTATAGTAAGTCGAGAGTTCGGTAGGTACCCGTACAGTACCTTCAGCAGTAGTAACTATAGACGGAGTATCATCCTCGTTGCCGGGACTCCCTTGCCGCCATTATAAACGCTAGCCGCTGCTCAGCAACCCCCCGCCTATCAGCGTCCTTACACTCCCTTTCTCGCTGGTCGATGCATGGATCGTGCCTGTCTCATCACCGAACAGTCCAGAGAGGAAGACCTCCAAGGCTCCAAAGACCACACAGAATTGAGGTGTCTCCATCCGGTCCCCTCTTGTGGACTTTTCTTTCCTTTTTCTTTCCGCCTTCTTTCCTTTCCATTACTAACACCACTGGGTCGCCCCGGTGGTATTCTCAATTTTTTTTTTCTGACAGGTTTCATCTGTGTAACAGTCGCACTACAATTGCTGTAGAAACCGTTGTCCAGGTTTGACATTTGCCCAGCACCACCAGCACTAGAACCCTGAGGTCTTCAATCCGACCAGTGACCAGCTGCCTCTTTCGGGGATCATCGGTCATCCTGTCGTACTGGTATGGAGGAGGGTTCTACTTTTAGCTCGACTCGAATTGGTGTCGTTTCTGGCAGAGGCCCGGTCTGTCTATCACTTTGAAGGAGGCTCTATATCTATCCACTACTAAGGTTTCCTAGGACCCAGATACCTCGACGATACAGTTAGTCTACGGAGTCCTTATCCCTTAGCTAGTCTCGAAACTCGATTTAGATGAGGGGGCAGAGGGCTTTTTCGTTGACGAACCCACCAGTAAGACGAAATGTGGCCTGAGGATAATTTTTACATTGGATCAATAAATTTTAAATTTTGTTCCCGTGTGTGCCGTTCAAAATTTCTTCATGGGATTTCTTCTTTAATTCCTCTATACATCATTCTCATCAACCCCAAAAGAGAAGATCGAATCTAATAAAATTCTCCACCGGATCCACTCGGTCGGAAAAAAGAGCTTATCCGGCCGGTATCTTTTCAGGAACGAGTGCCTTCGATTGGAAGTTGTGGAAAACCGAGAACGCTGTCATTCATACGTAAGGTGTCGACCGTTTCTTCTTCGCTCTCTCTCTTCCTTTCCCTTTCCTTCTTCTTGGCCCTTCAATCCAAGTTTCGAACAATGCCATTCATTCCTGCCGGTGGAACTGGGCAAAGGGCGAATGAAGCCTGGGGGAATCTTCTTCTCCAGATTGCAGCGGTCGATCCTGCATACCTACTTAGCCGAACTACTACGTGGTTGCTACTGTTCGTTAGCTCATTACTGGCTCATTACTGTCGTCCGGTCGGGAAGCCAGAGGAACGGGTTCTATTCCCCTTTCGGAAGTTCCTGCCTCAGGAAGAACGTCGGCCGAACATACCAGGCGCTTAATTCTTCTATGGCTGAACCTGAAGAATAGCTCCTACTCCATACCATCACCTCTCTTCTCGAGTGAGACCGCAACCTTGAACCGATCGGCATTGTAGATTTACTTTGGCAGTATTCCCGCCTATCCTGCCTATCCTCCAGGCTCGTTACCATCTGCCGACTATCTCCGTCATCTCGGCCATTCGACAAGGGGAAGCCGCCCTTGAAGGGAGGTATGTACAGTAAGTACTATGTATGTATTGGGCGAACCGCTTGATCTACTCTATACGACTCGACCATCTACGGTACCTTTGCCCGGTTCCTGGTGCACAGTCGTTCGACGCTTTGATCAAGCTACTGGGCTAACAATTTTTTTCCAAGCGATGACGATGGCTGAGTGCCCGATGGTCGGTTCGAAAAGTTGTCTAGAAATACCGTGCTCGCCCGCGCACTGATCGCATGGCGGACCGTTCACCAGACACGCGCCCATACCCTTATTTGTCTCGACTCTCGACATTCCCGCCGATCATGGCTAAGGGTGGTCTTTTCCCTTCCGCTGCGAGCATGCGCTGCTCCCGGTTTCCCATAATCGGTTGTTTAATCTATCGTCGGCTCGATTTCTCCAGTTGGTCTTACAAATCTTATCATTATCGCAGATAATGGGCAAGAATCCCCGAGCCGGGTCAGGCCCCATCTCAGCTGAACGAACTTGCGCCGGTCTGACAGCCCAGCCAGCTCTAGTACGCTTGCCTGGTGTGGGGTTAGCCAGTTCCCCCCCCCCCCCCCCCGGCTGATGCCACACCACAAGCTTGCCCATCGCACCCGAGGTTTTTACGACGTCACCGACAAGTCTATCTCTTCCTCGGCCGGACTGGCCACAACCATGCGAATATGGAAATCGGCCGTCTTCACGGTTGGTTCGGCAGAGTGAGAGGAATTCTGTCCCATGGTCCCCGCTCGTCTGGGTCTACTTCTATCGAATTCAATGAATCGTGCATCAGATCGTCACGATGAGGGCACAGAGGCTAACAGCTGCTCCTCTCTCACTCTCCGTGGGCGCCAAAATCCGCAATTGCCCAATCAACCCCTCTCAGGATTGAGATTTGATTTTTAGCCTCGACTTGTTACTATTTCCACCGCCACAAATGGTGAGATCGGTAAGCTCGTATGCACAGCGATCACACCTGGTGGCCCCCCCTCCTGTGGCCTTCTGATCCTTTCCCACGCCCAAGCCCCTCCTCTCTGAGACACCGGTCGGCCCCCGTGCAAATCCCTTCTCGCATCGGAGGGGTTAGCGTTGGAGCTCATGAGGGTCCAGAATTGAGCCATGTTCTAATCACAATTTCGGTGCTAGAAGGCCTAACCGGACTTGCGGCTCAAGGGTCGGCCTTATCCGCCAGCAGGAGCGCTAGCCCCCAATAATGACTATTATCTTATGCCTCGCGTCGCAACACAGTGGTGCGAGTGGTAGGTGTCGGCGGATAGGCCAGCCCATCAATCCGTAAGCTTCCGAACTCTTGTCTATAGGTCAGCTCGGCGCCGTGCGGCTGAGTCGTCGATTCGCCGACCAGCCGCGTTGGACATTGCTATGGGCGCAAATTCACGCGATGGTGAGCCGTGCTAGCAAACTAGTGCTCATACCTCGGATGGATTGGTGGAGTCGCTGACAAGGATAGCTGACTCGAGACGCTGTGCCGCGGTGTCATGGCCATGTGCGCGTTGTTAGCAGGGTTAGTAGGCAGTTATCTGTCGGGCAGGCCGCCCAGACACCCTGGAGGACCGAGCACCAGCATCGGGCGCACTCAAAAATCACAACAGACGTAAAACTACTACTAGCCCATCCAGCCAGCCAGCCAGTGAACAGCCTTGGCGGGTCAGCAGGAATTCGGATTGTATGAAGGAAGCGCTGGTGCGGGGGGGTGCATTTGGTTCTAGATGGGGACCGATATGCTCGGTGATTGGGCCAGCAGTGCAGCCCTAGTGCTCGTGCTCCAGCGTGATTGCCTGCAACTTTATTTAGCTACGGCGCGTCGCAAGTGAGTGAGTGATGACGGACTGGTGTGCTCTCAACCGGTTTCGCCAGTCGTGATGTCAGTGAGGGAGTGAGGGGGAGAAAGTCAGTCTGTCCCTCACCTGCAGGAGGGAGAATGACCGATTGCTTTTCCCCCGCCAATGCCGATGTATGTATGTGTTGGCCGGCCTCAGGAAGTCAGTCGGTCTGCGATCTGTACGTATAGCTGCCCCATTGTTTATCCTTGTGGTTCCGCGTTTCGCGTGTTTGAGATGTAAACATAAACATTGAGGGTACTGGAGCACATTGATCGATCCATGGTACCCTGGGTGTACCCCAACAATAACTGACATTTTGACTTGACAGTGAGTGACGCGACCGGCAAACGCCATCCCATGACTGTTGCCTGAGGTTTCCACTTTTCACTTGGATGCTTGGTATGACATCACATTTCCCCAGCCTCCCTTCTTTCCTCCCCTCCGACTATCCCTCTCTCCCCTCTCTCTCTCCCCTCTCTCTCTCCCTCTCCTCCTGCGTCCTCACCTTGCTTGTTATCTTTCCTTGCCGTCTCCATGACATAATACGGCGTACGGTAATAACCATTCCGACGCGTCCAGTCCCCACTATCTCCTATGAAGCTTAATCTCTCTCGCTTCCACTCCCAGATGACGATATAGCACACCTACTCCGTACAGGACCTACAAAGTATCCAATCTTGCGATTCCATCTCCGATACGATCGTGGGGGCCATTGATCTGCAAAACAATCCCATCCCAAACACAACAAAACAAAACAACAATACCGATTCTTTTGATCGGTGACGTACTTAGTCGCGTCTCGATCGAGTCCAGACTTGTTCTACTTGATTTCCTCGGGCCACTTCTCGGCCGTTGACCACACGCGCGCCCCAAGACCTCATCCCACCATGCCCACCTTTTTATCCGGCTTAGAGTTTGCCACCGGAGCCCGACTCCTCTTCTAGTGCCCGGGCTAAAATGTCAATATGGGTCTCATCAAGTTCCGGTTTTACCGTAGGGCCCGAAAAGCTGCCAGATGTTGGGGGCAGGGCTCCATTACGCTACATACGCCCTCACTCCTTACACTTCGACAGGCTCAAAAGGTGTCGCTTACCTAAAGGGGGAGAACCCCTTCCATGCACAGCGGAAGACTAAGGAAAGCTTATGTGAACCAGAGACGATTATGCAGGTATGCAACCTTCTCTCCCTTCTATCCCTTGTTAAGGGATCTACTGGTAAAACGCTTCTGGATGCTGGCACCACGAGTGTGGGCATGCACAGATCTCTCTCATGTCTGATTTCTTGCTTCCGGTGATGCAAGTTAATCAAGGTTCCTGCTACCGAACAATCAATTGAACTCAATCTGATAGGGATTTATCGAAGAAGCTTCAACGTTCAATAGCATTGCCACTATTGGGTCTGCAGGGACCCCTCCCCCTGCCCCCCCTTTCTTGCAACCCTCGTGGGACCCCCCCTCCCCCCCAGCTTGCCTCTCCTCGCGGTGATCAAGCTAAAACAATCTATATGCAAGTCTATCTATCTGTTATTGCCCCTCCCCCCTCCCCTTTGGTCCACTTTTGGAGTATTGATCCAAGATCATCGCTGCACCCCAGTATCGTGGGGCGAGAGGGGTGGAAGAGGGGAGATTCAGATCGGGAGATCGATCAAGATAATCGACAACGCCACCCGCAAGTCTATTCCTTGGGTTGGGCTCACTGCAGTGCAAGCCAACCGATATCGAGGAATGGATTATCCCTCTTCTCCCGAAAGAAATTCTCCGCAAGGGCACGTACCCACCGTATCAATCAATTCACCACTCCCCCCCCCCCTTCTTTCCCTTTGGTCGTGCAATAATACCCCTGCAACAGCCTGTAAGATAGGGTCTTAAACCCTAAGCTGTAGTTATCAATATATCTGCATGAAATCCTCCGCGCTAAGCCCCAGGTTTCCCACCTGCAGCTTGGGCAGGGGGTGGGTGCGGTGGGGGATGATGCCAGGTCCTACATAGACTTAAACATGCATGCAAGTGCTGCTTGTAAGTGTAACCCTCTCTTTGGTTCCTTACTTGCAATGCCCTGGTGGTAGCACGAATTCAGCGCGGAGATGCATCTCTTTGGGACAATCGGTTTGTATGCCTGTACTGTACAGTATACTTACCGAAGGGTCGAGCGAGGCAAGCATTCAGTCCCTTGACTCGGAGAGAACAAGACCGTCGTTGCTCTCTTCATGTTAGAGTATATATTTGGGACCAGCTACCCTCTTGCCATGGTTGATAGAGGTCCCTGTTGCTGGTGATGAGATCTCGCGGGCTCGAATGAAAACACCATATGTAGAAAGAGCATGCTGATGCTTAAGGATGTCTCCTTTGACATGTAGAGGTACTATTCAGAGCAAGGGCAGTGATTATGGACTTACACCATCAAACGTGAACTCCGGAAAGACTAATTTTGATATCAACGCATCAATTCCAACTCACGGCCGATCCCCAAGAACATCCCGGCAGCATGCAAAGCACGCAACCTTAACGCCTTCAACAGCAACCCAAGCTGCCGTACCTTCTAAGACCTATAGTCAGAAATTAGCTATACCACCAAACTCTCCAAAGAACCAGATCCAAGCACCTCCCACGTAACAACCTCGCGCCCCCAATTCTCCTCATCTCACGCGCATTGAAGGACCGACCCGTCAGCCCAAGAATGCCACCCAGCACAACCGCGTCCCTCGACGGTACGTACCCCCTCATCTCGCTTACTTACCTGCTTCCATTCCTCGTCCACCTGCACAGTCGCGCCAAGGAAGCAATGATCCTCACATTCCATCCCCCCCTTCCACCAAATCCCGAGCAAGTCATTGCCGATGGTCCCTGTCCTGTACTGTACCTGTGCCATACCCCTGCGCATCCCCCTTGGCCCAAGATAGACTAGCAGCCCATAGCCCATACCTCCCCCATCCCTGTAACAGATTTCCGCGTGGCGTTCCGTCATCCATCATTCTTGGTGTGGTGTGAGGAATAGGAATAGGAACAGGAACAGGAACAGGAACAGGAACAGGAACCCGTGGATGTCAATCTGGGACTCAAGAGATAGGGTACTGGTAGGGATTGTTCGATACGGTCGGTACCTGGATGGGTGGGAAGGAGGTAAGGGGATTTTGGATTTCCGGGGCATTTATTCTGTGGCCCCCTGATAAGGGGCATTCTTGGGACCTGAGGTAACTATTTATTGTACTGTATATACAGTGTGTATGGTTCTGGTGATGGTGGTGGTGGTGGGTACTGGAGTTGTGTGGTTTATGGGGGTTGGCCCTTTCTTTTCCAAGGAGGGTGCGTATGAAGTCGAGTAGAGATAGGGTTGTCTGCGAATTTCGGGTTCGAGTGATTGGGGAGAGGCGGGTACGGTACAAACCTAGATGGATTGCGTATTGTAGTTCACTTAGGATGCATACAGTACAGGATGCTGCTGTTATTGAGCTGTTGGGCGAGTAGTTGGAGATTGATGTATGCCACGGCACACACACTCATTTTTGGGGTCTATAGTCAGGATCACTGATTTTCGTCTCATGTACTGTACTGTAGCTTATGCTCGACAATACTTACCTCTAATACAGAGAGCAGTGAACTAGATCCAGATACGATATTTTCTGCTGTATCTACCGGGCTAGATATATTACGGGATCAGATAAGCTGCCTGGTAAGTAGTCCGATGGAACACATCGAATCCAGACGCTCAACTCTGCGTATGCATTTGATATCTACTTCCTCTCGCTAGCCCAAGAGCTGCCGTAGCCTCCGCCTCCTCCTCCTCCTCCACGTGTCTTTCATCTCCACTTGATGACCAGGATATACTTCTGCAATAATGATATCTGGTATAGCACTACCTCCTCGCATTGACAGCCTCTCGCAGGAGACACTCTTCCGCTTCCCAGGACCAGTTGGCCATTTACCCAAAAGAAGCCTCCAAGAAACGCTGTAGCAGAAGCAGTCCAGTAGTCCATCTCTTACCGAGGACAAGCCCCGTGCTGTACGGTACATAGATCCGAGCCCGGAAGTAGATCGAGAGGACGAGGCTGTCGTCACACACCAGATGCAGATGTAGGTGACTAGATCAGAGAATATGGACTAGCGGTTACGCGGCAATAGACAAGTCAAAGGATCGCGATGAAAGATATATAGGGTTCTATGGTGGTCTTGAAGAAGGATGAATCAGTGATAGGATCGCTCCTGTATATAGACGCGCCATCCAACAAACAGATTAAGAAATGAAGGGAACGATTAGATGAATCCCGCTTCGGAATCCATCTATCACTCCGCTGTGTCGACCTCAAACAAGTACGAGATATCCAAGGAGTCTGCCCCCCAATCGGCCACAATGCGCCGCTTCTCCTTCTTCTGCTTCCACTGAGTGATGTTCCCCAGGCAAGCATCACATCGTTCATGATCCGCCGCTCCGAGGTGAGCAAAATAATCCATCGCCGCCTGACTCTGGCTACAGACCGCATAATGCGCGGGCGGGTTGCCTGCGTCGTCCAAATGCCATGGGTTTGCCCCAGCTTCTACCAGCAATCGTACGCACCGGAAGTTCTCTCCGCGGGCGGCCCAGTGTAGCGCTGTCGCCGCCTTCGAGTTGCCAGCGCTGACGTCGAATGACCGTCGCGACAACCCTAGTGTTGTGGCTGATGCTCCAACCCTGTTGTCAGGAACGGGTCGCGAAAGAGCTAGAAGCAGTTCCACTATGCTGGCAGCGCCTCGCCCAGCTGCGAAATGCAGATAGCTATTCCCCTCATTGTTGAGTTTGTGCAGATCCTTGCTGGCATGGATCATCTTCTGAATGATTTCAATATAGTCGCCCCTGTTGCTGCAATCATTCACCTGACGTAGCATGATATGGATCGGCGTGTCGCCGCTTCCGTGCTCTGCGATGTCGACGTCTGCGCCTGCATTGACCAAGGATAGAATGAGCTTATGAAACCTGCGGTGTAAATATGCCCCACTGGATGCGACGTGGAGGATAGTGCGCTCCGAGTCAAATGGGGCGGACAGATCCACCGCAGCTCTGCCGATGCTGACTAGTTCTATGATCCGAGTGACTGCTTGCCATCCGAACTCGGTCGAGAGCCGCGACCAAAGTGAATCCAGGGAGAGCCGGGGTTGCAAGCGATGCTCCGGCCAGAACGCCGGGCCGCGACGGAGAAGTAACTGAAACACGTCCTCCGGGCCGTCCAGTGCTCGGTCGATGGCACTTTTGCCATAGACGTCCACGGCCAGAAGATCGCCATCAAAATCGAGAAGTAGCTCAATCAATGATACACAGCCGCAGGAAACGGCGTTGTGGAATGGAGTGACGCCCCGGATATTAGGGGCGAGGATGTCACCGCGCGATTCCGCCCCCGCCTCCAAGAGAAGCTTCACAACTTCCGTATGCCCTTGTTTACAAGCCAGATTCAAAGCTGTATCGCCAGTGGAGGTCCTCACGAAGGGGTCAGCATGGTGAGCAAGTAAGTATTCCACGATGGGGATGTATCCCTGCCAGGAGGCTAAGTGCAGCACGGTATAGCCCTGCGCACCAGGTGTATTGATGTCGCCTTTAGCGCTGGTGATACTGGAGATGAAAATCCTTGAAAAGTCTGTCAGGCCATGAATGACGACCATTTCAAAAGGGGAAGCCCCATCCGCGTGACTTGTGAACACATCCGCACCCAGCTTGAGCAGGTGCGCCGTTACGTCTAGATGACCCCCACGGACTGCCATATGCAATGGTGTCTGACAGTATCGATCGACTGCGTTGATATTTGCCCCAAGGTCTGATAGAGCCTGAACGACATCAAGGTGGCCCTGATACGCCGCTAGATGCAAAGGAATGACCCCATCCTCGTTCTTTGCATTGACGTCTGCCCCTTGGCGGATAAGGATGCCAAGCAGGCGCAGATTACCTGCTCCTGCAAAATGGTGTACCAGTGTAGAGCGATCTTGGCCCGGAAATGTGTGGCTCGGGACTCGAGTAAAGTAATCAACTGCATACTGTGATGACCAGGTCTTGATGTTACTCCAGGAAGAGCGATAGGTGACAGGACTGGCGCAATGGAGTTGGATCCATTTGGTATAAAGCTGGGGGTACAACAGCAGTGCAAATCTCTTTGCGGAGCTGGTCAACGCGGCGAGAGATTTGGGGCCGAGGAAGTTCCCCAGATACAGAATAAGCTCGGGAGGAAGACTATCCAGACTCATACTGACCGCTGAAAGGAAACAAAAGGTCAGAAAGAAAGAGCCCCTGCTAAACTTATATGTGAAGGGGGCTGGCTTCATGGAATGTCCCGTAATGCAGACTTGCAGGCTTACTGCTGGTCCCCTTGCGCATGGAAGACCCCATGGTGAATTCTCATTGGGCTAGTCTGCGGTGAGGGAGATGAATACGACCATATGGCATATTGTGCTCCCACCGAGATCAAGGAAAGGATTGATGCGCATGGAAGAGAAGCCATTTTTAGAGGATCACATGGCATTGATGCTTCAGCAAGCTTCGTGATGGTAAGCTTCCGGGAGAGCTGTCCCTTGAAATCATGTGACCATTCTATCTGAATTGATGCTCTCACATCTTTGGCAGTTATGATGATCACTGGTTGTGGTTTGAATGTATGGTGAAGTTATCCACGAAAAGCATCCGACTTGCTGATAGGCTGTTGCTCAATGAATCTTGGTGCAGTGATTGACCGGACGTAGTCCGTCTCACATGCTGATTTGCCAGGCAGCCTTACATCCTGTCGCGCGGAATGGGCTCCCAGTGGCTCCTTTGTCTTCTCCTAGCCTCACCTATCTTGTCGACTAGGCGTGGTATGTACACAAGTTGGTCGACACAGGCAGGTAGTAGGCTTGAACCGTGGGCTGCATACGTGCACACACGTCCGGAGTGGAGTGCATGCATCTCTCTGAAGCCTGGACGGTGGGTGGATGGCCCCGTTGCTCTTGTGCAGCATCTTTTATCAGTCAAAGTCTATGAAAAAGACTGAGCACCAGTGTCTGAGACGTAGAACTCGTTGGTTTACTACTGACTAGTGCGGTCGGTTGCGGTGGAGCAGCGGTGAGTCTGTTGCTTTGGAAGCATCTAGATCCCTCCGGACGGGTTGGTTTGGCTTCCCCAACTTCCCCTCTGTCGGGGAACAATCCTCCGCTCAATCATCGGCTCATCTTTCTTTCTTTCCGAGGAATGGGGATGGTAAAGCCAGAGAATCGAATGGAATTGTCGGGATCGTGTACTTCCCGACTGAGTGTCGGAATCAGTATCCTGCTTGGAAGATCCAGGGGCAGATGGGATCTGGAGACAGGAACAGGAACGAAAGAATCAGACGACGCGGAGAGCATGGAGGAAAGGAAAAGAAGCCAGTCAAACAAGGCAAGTCCAGAGAAAGTGGGGTTGTAATTGAAGCCATGAAGTCACTTGGTGGAGAGGAAGGTCTTAAAGTTGGGTTTAGTTGGGATCAGTTAGGATCAGTTGGGTTTAGTCTCGGCACGGGATGAAGTCATGCTACCAGAAACCCGAAGTACGGTGTACTTCCCGATACCTGGCCGTCGCTGCTCCGAAATTAGTCCTGCCGGGTACCGAGAGGTACTGCGTACATGTACACAGTACAGTAGTTAGTGTCTGTGAGTTTGTATTGTATGTCTCTCTATCAGTTTGTTTGTATCTCAAAATGTCAGTCTGATTCTCAAACCGATGATAATGTTGGGCCGGTGTGCTGTAGCTTTTCTGTAGTCAGGGATAGGCATTGAACATGGGCGACATTAAAACGTTTGCCCGTACTGCTGTGCTCCCAATTGGTTTCAACCTGCCAGACCTCACACACACCCTGTCAGCCCATGCATGAGACCGGAATGAAAGAAACCGCCGTCCGTTTGTATAGTACAGACGGACAAACAAACAACAGACAGTCTGTTTTGGATTCGATCGGGCAATGCACTGGCAGTCCCCAGTCCCCACTCTCTATACTCCTCGTCCTTGCTCTGACTTCATTTTCCCTTCTCGTTCTTCGACCTCTCGTTTCTCTATTGACTTTTCGCCTGCATTCAAATAGCCTCAACTTCCCCCTCGATCATGGTTCATTCTTCATCTCATCTTCTCTTCCTCTCTCCAACGTTCATCTTCACAGATACCCCACCTGATCGCTCCCTCTTTCCTTCTATACCCTTTCTTCATCTTGTAGGTCACTGCTATCCTGTCGGCGATCGGTTAGCCTGGTCATTGTGACTAATATCTCGACAGCATAGCTCACATCAATCAACATGGCTGCTAACCTCCCCAAGACCATGAAGGCCCTCCGGTAGGTTATGAACGGTTCCCCTTCGCTGACTGTCCTCAACCAATGCTGATCCAATCATAGCTATGAGGAGCCCCTGAAGCACGGCATTGCCGAGGTTCCCTTGCCCACTATTCGTGACAACGATGTCTTGGTAAGCCTCACAGACATTGAGTGTATCAGGCCTTCACTGACTCGCAACAGATCAAGGTCAAGGCCTGCGGTGTCTGTGGTACCGATTTGCACATCCACGAGGGTGAATTTATTGCCAAGTTCCCTCTCGTCCCCGGCCACGAGACGGTTGGTGTTGTGGCCGCCGTCGGCTCCAAGGTCAAGGGCTTCGAGATTGGTGAGCGTGTGGTGGCCGACAACTCTGAGCTTTGCGGCGAGTGCTTCTACTGCCGTCGGGGAGACGAGCTGTTCTGTGAGAACTTCCAGGCTCACGGTGTCACCATGAACGGTGGCTTTGCTGAGTACTGCGCCTACCCTGGTATGCTCGTCTGGCCTTCTTATACCACGGCATCGGCTAACACAGCGTAGCTGGCAGGGTGTTCAAGATCAAGAACCTCTCGGACGTCGACGCCACTCTTCTGGAGCCCGCTTCCTGCGCCGCTCACGGTCTCGACAAGATCGCCCCGAAGATGGGCTCGTCCGTTCTGTTGTTCGGTGCTGGCCCCACTGGTCTGGTAGGTGCCTCGCATCCAAGTCTCTATTTCCAACCCAGCTGACTCCTTCCAGATTCTGGCTCAACTGCTCCGTCAATGCGGTGGCTGCCGTGTCGTTGTTGCTGCCCCTGAGGGTCTCAAGATGGACCTGGCCAAGTCCCTCGAGGCTGGTGACGAGTACATTGCTCTTTCCCGCAGCGACCCCAGCGCCCAGTTCCAGAAGCTCAAGGATGAGAACCCCTATGGCTTCGACATTGTCGTTGAGGCTACCGGTAGCGTCAAGATTCTGGAAGACTCGATCAACTATGTCCGCCGCGGTGGTAAGCTCGTCGTGTACGGCGTGTACTCCAACAAGGACCGTGTCTCTTGGCCTCCTAGCAAGATCTGTAAGTCGTTCTGTCTGTCTTGTCTCTGGTGAGTGCAGATGCTAATGCTTCATAGTCGGCGACGAGATCACCATCCTGGGTAGTTTCTCCGAGGTGTACAAGTTCCCTGCTGCCATTGACTACTTGGATTCTGGCAAGGTCAAGGTCAAGGGTATTGTCAACAAGGTGTTCAAGATCGAGGAGTGGGAGCAGTGCTTGGAGAGCATGAAGAACAAGTCTGCCATTAAGGCGGCTATCACTTTTGATTAGATTGGCATAGCGGGCTGTGCTTCTAAGTAATGATTAACGAATGAATATGTATGACACACTCGTGTGCTTGTCGACGACGAATTCAGTAGATTCGATCTTTAGGTGCTGTGGGAAGGTGTTGTAGTATTTATGGAGAAGTAGCCGGTGGGTCGGCGTCACCAAGGTCCTTCCCCTCACTGCATCAGAATGACCTCAAGTATGACCTGTCAGTCGTTGAACTCCTATTTTAGCATCCTGTCAAATCGACTAAATTAATCTCACCATAAATTACGGCTATTGTAATCGCATAGACTAGCATTTATCCATTCAACGAGTGTAAATCGTCTTAAATACACAGTAAGCACAGCTCAAGTAGATCCTCCTTCCTTATCGATAAGCAACTCCAGCCCGTCACTTTCTCTCTCTCTCTCGCTCTCTCCCGCAAGCACTGCATCTTTCTTCTCACTTTCTAACTCAACTCAAGCCTCCAATTATCCTTCCCAACTTCCGCATTCACCCCTCTCGAGCATACCCTCCTGTTCCTAATACCCTGAAGAAAGAAAATGGTCAAACCCCTAACCTTCAAAGGCGACAAGCCCCACAAGTCCAAAAAGCGCAAAGCCGACCCCTCCCTCCCGAGCAGCACCGCCAAGAAGCCCACCTCGACACACCCACCAGCATCCGAACACTCCGGCGCCAATGATGTGGTGACCGCTACTGCCCAAACCAACCACGACGAGGACGAGAACCCCGAGGACCAATCGTGGGTCTCCGCCGACGTGCCCTCGGACATCGCCGGCCCGATCCTCCTCGTCCTCGCCAGCCAACCGCCGACGTGCATCGCCAGCGACGCGCACGGGAACGTCTTCGCCTCCGACCTCGAGAACCTCATCGAGGGGGACCCCAGCACGGCGGAACCGCACGATGTGCGGCAGGTGTGGGTGGCGACGAAAGTGGCGGGCGTGGAGGGGTGGAGTTTTAAGGGGTCGCATGGGCGGTATGTTTCCCTTCCTGGTTTATATGGAGTTCGCCCTGTTATGGGTGTAGTGCATTGCGGGGTTGGTTCGTAGAGGGTAGGGCGGGATATTGGGGGGGTTACTCGGAAGGTCATAGTGCTAATGTGTGAACGTGCCCAAAAATAGGTATCTATCGAGCGACAAACACGGCATCCTGAGCGCAACCTCCTCCGCAGTCTCGCATTACGAAACCTTTAATGTCCACCCCGCCGCGGTGCCGCGCACGTTCTCCATTCAGACGGGCACCAGCGAGTCCGAGGAGAGCACCTTCATCAGTGTGGCGGAGGTACCCTCGAAGACGACGGCGTCCGGGGTGAAGCTCGAGGTGCGCGGGGATACGGGGACGCTGTCAGCGGATACGAACGTCCGGATACGGATGCAGGCGCGGTTCAAGCCCAAGATCAAGGCCAGTAAGGAGATCAAGGCGCGGGAGAAGGTCAGTCGGAAGGAGTTGGAGGGGATCGTGGGGCGGCGGCTGGAGGAGGATGAGGTGCGGAGGCTGCGCAAGGCGAGGAGGGAGGGCGACTTCCATGAGGTAGTGCTGGATGTGAGGGTGCGGGGGAAGCATGATAAGTTTGCTTGAGCCCGGTCTTGGGTTTATGAAGAATATATCTGATGTGAGTTGGAGCTTTAGTGCTGATCTATAATCAGTCATATATCAATCAATTCGCATATATCCTGCTTTGTGGTTTGTCAATGCTGGCGCTGTGTAATACAGACTGTGATTGCAGGCTGCCTTCCTTCACTATGGCTATGGACTTTGGGGCCGGAAGGGTGACTTGGTAGTTCGCGATAAAGAGAACAACCCCTTTGTGCTTGTATAGACATGGGTGGATCCACTATGGTACAGATTTATTAGACATATACATATACACTGGTCTATTCCTTCTTGGCGAAGAGGTCCCGCCAAAACTGCTTGAGTCCATAGCCCTTCGAATGATCCTCTTCGTACACCCGCACCGTATTCGAGGTACTCAAAGATTCCAGGATGCTAGCAGCTTTGGGCCCGTCCGTAGCCGGTCCTCGAGCCCGCTCAGTTGCTCGTCGTTTGATCTCCTCGGCCAGACCAGGAGCTACTTCGGTATAACAAGCGTTCAGCTCCCGCTCGAGGTTGATGTACGGCTTTTGCGCCACCGGTGGAGCCATTAGATTGTAGGACCGTGTTTGCGCGTTCAGGTTCTTGACCATGAGTTCCAGGAACGAACGCTCGGTGTTGAGATACTGCGGGTCACGGAGAGGCGAGACATGAGGCAAGGGCTCCTTCTCCGTAATCTCTTCGGCTGGTGCTTCGGTCGTACTCGCATCGGAAGAGTCCTGCTCTTCACCGCTACTCCTGCTGCTGCTGCTGCTGCTGCTGGGGTCTCTAAAAGCTTGCTCGATCTTGACCCGTTCGGCCAAGCGAGCCTCCGCTGCGGCATACGCCTGCGCCCGACGCATTTGCGCCTGCAACGACCCTCCCTCACTGGCAATCAGTCGGGCAGCGTGCCGTCGCCACTCAGCCCTCAGCCGGGACCGGAACCGATCAACCTCCCTCGCCAGATCCTGCTGCTTTTCGATCCAAGGCGGCACGATCTCCTGCTTTTGGATGATCTTGTTCATGAAGTACTCCGTCGTGTCGATAAAGGGACTGTTCGCATTGTGATCCGTGGTCACGTTCACCCCTTTGCCCCGCTTGATCTTGTTAAATTGCCCACGCGCGATCGCATCTTCGATTCGCTCATTCGCCAACGCCGTCAGTCCTTGCAAGGTGGCCGGCATCGGCCGCGCCCCGGGCGAGAACCGCTCCCTCATCTCCCGACGCATCGCCTCTCGCTCTTCTTCCGACGGCCCCGAGCTTTGCGCCAGGGTGTATGTTGCTGTGCGCTCCTTCGCCCGGGCGAGGCGCAAGCCGGCGGACTCGTTGGACTTGGGCTTGATCCGCATGTCGACGGGGTTGGGGATCTTGAAGGGCGTGCGCATCGGTTTAATCGAGCTATCCAGCATGCGTAGGGTGACGTCGTGGAGGTTTTCCGTGCCGGTCCAGGGCTCCGCGCCGGCAATGTCTCGTGTACCTTGTCCTGCACTAGCCTGTACCGTAATAGAAGATTCTTTGTATTAGCATACTTCAGGATCCCGTTGGGCGGAAGAGTATCAGGAAAGGATGTAGAGCCATACCGGCGTATTGACTGTAGCATGCGCACTCGCATACTCACTCTGGAATGCCGCCGCCGCCACCCGTTCCTCCAGCTGTTTCTTCAGCTCCTCCGAAAACCCAGCGGACTCGAGGTTCTTGCGCGCGGATCGACCGCCTTCGAGCATAGCTTCCTCGGTCATCTCGGATAGTCGACGAGCCATGGCCCCTTGCTCCGGGGACTTCTCATGTTGGGGTTCGCTGCTGCTGCTGCTGCTGCTGTCATCGCTCTGTTTCGTAGTTGCCGCATCTTGCCGCCCCCGCGCACTGCTGCTGGCAAGACATCGACACGTCGAAGGGGAGGGCTGGATGTGGCGTGTCGTCCGCAGCGCAACAAGAGTATTCACGTATAAGGTGCACACATTCCTTCTGCTCATTCTTATGGGTAATTGCAATCTTTCAATGTTGAGCATTGCATGTTGTATCCGCAAGCATCGCACCCAGCTTCTTATCAGCGAACGCCGCCGCCGCCGCCGGGATTATGTCAGCGAGTCTCTATGGATTGCAAACCTCCGCGGGCAAAATTGTCCCAAAGTCTTGGCAGGATTGATTGCCCTTTCCCTTCGACCCGGTAGCATAACTTTGGCATTGAGCTTGTCGCATCAACGAATCCTGCTTTCGTTCTTCTCCCTATCGTACCGCCTGGTCTCGAGCACAACATAGACCTCACGCAAATTGCCAACCATGCCTGCCTCCACCCGTCTCACCCCCATCCGTCTCCAGACTATCAACCACCTGCGCGTCCGGAGACCCAACAAGAACGAGCCCAACGGCTGTGTCAATGTCATGTCCGCGATGCTGAGTACGTCTTCCTCCTGATTCGTTGTTCAGACATCTCCGAACGCCCGGCAGATCTGGCCTGGTGCGAGGCCTCAGGGCCCTTCATCTCAAGCCTTGGATATTCATCATGAACCGACATACCGAACCCCCCCCCCCCCAAAAAAAACCATCTTAGCTGACATTGCCATTGAAAATAGGTTGCTGGGCTTCGGCCGGTGCTTCTGTTGAAGGTTGCGCGGCTCTGGAACAGCAATTGAGACAGTGCATGGATGCTCCTGTACGTATTCCCTATTTCTTTCATTCTGGTGTCGTGTTTCACCCTTCGCTTGTCCATACGATTCCGCCTCTTCAGATACCCCCTTACATTTATCAAGCCGAAACAGGGCTGGGCTAATCCTTTGCTTCAAAAAACCACAGAAACCCAAGCGCCAGGGACGCAGCACCATCAACTACCACCTCATGAGAATGTTCCCCAACGTCCGTGGACCGCAGAAGAAGGATGGTGTTTTGGGTTAGGAGGCTTTCCGCTTCTGGTTGTGTTTTTTTTTTCTTTTCTCTTGGGGTTCTTTCAATGTGTTTGGGAGCGAAGTTCAAGCTGGGCATCAAAGGTCCTAGTGTGGTTGGGGTTGGGGGTCTGGGAGCTCTGGCGCGTCCAGGTCTAGGGCAGGATCACCGAGGCCCGGTGCTGGTCGGGTGGATAGGACAGGCCAGGACCAAGGTTGGGCTGAATCAGGGCATATGGGCTTGTAGCTGTGGTTGCGGCTGCGGCCGCGGCTGGAGATGGACATACTGTATTCTATTGTGCTAACTGGAGTTTCTTGATATTTATGGTTCAGAAGACAGGTTTGAATTGTTCATGATATCGATCAGTGCGTAGTTGGGGCTTCTGCGGCTGGGTTGCTATAGTACAGCGTTAAAGGCTTCTGCCCTTCAAAGAAATGCCGGTGACTACGCGGTTGCAATCATGGTATAGGTGTAGTTATTCACCGGATATTATGTTACTGATACGGGAAATAACTGTTATATGGCGTATATTCATGAAGTATATGATTGAGACTATGAAGTAATCTGATCTATCAAGCATTTTCGAACCGCAAGATCAGCTTCTCGCCTCGAGGCTTGACAGTGTAAGCATCAATCGCCTCAATATCGTCGTCATTGACGATGGAGGTCTTGAAGTTCGTGTAGATGGCTGCCACAGCCAGTTTCATTTCTGACGAAGAATGGTTAGACAAGCACCACCTAGGTTACAGACAAAAGGACTCACCTTGCAGGGCTAGATTGCTACCCACACACATCCGTCCACCGCTGCCAAAAGCCCAAAACCACCGCCTTCGCTCCTCCAGCTCGGCGGCCGAGTTCTGATCTTTGAGCCACCGTGTCGGCTCCCATGATTCAGGCTCAGGGTAGACAGTGGGGTTGCGGTGAAGCGAATAGGCTTGCGCATTCACCCTAGTGTTTGCGGGGATATCGCTGTAGCCTGCAAGTGTGCAGCTTGGAGAGGGCGTCACGCGTGGCTGGATCCCTGGGATCGGCGCGTGCAGGCGCAGCGTCTCCGTAACGATGGCTTCGAGGAGAGGTAATGCGTCAATTGACTTGGGAGACGGGAGTTCTCGGGAGGAATTAGGCCGAGGATAGGTGAGTCTTGGCTCAAGAGTCAAAAGCTCTTTGCGGAGCTCGTCCTGCAGCTCAGGTTGCTTGGAAAGCTCCCAGAAGAGGTAGGTCAGGGCCACGGCACTAGTCTCGTGGCCAGCTGTGAGATGATCGTACAGCTCACAGGCAATCTCGCACTTCTGTTTCTTGGGGTCTTCGTCTGGCAATCCAGTAGCCTTCTGCTGCTTGGTGATGCCTTGCTTGAGCTGTTTGTATACCATCGGTTCGGTTTCCAGCTTGGTCGACGTCATGCATTCGTCGGCCTGGTTGCAGAAACCTAGCCCCCATGCGTCCAGTACCTCGTTGGCCTCATCGCACCATTTCGGAATGAGGCGGAGTCCGATCTTCTTGGTCCATGCCAGCAAGTCAGGAACTTCTTGGTGGTAGAATTCGAACGGCTTTCTGCATTGGTAAAGGTGCAGCATCCTGCGGCGGAAGGCCTCATCTTGAAGGAAATTGGTGCCATTGGCCAGCCCGTAGAGATACGAGGATACGAAGTCCATGGTCAATCCTTGATTCAGATCGTGCATGTCCACCAGGGCGTTATCTGACACTGCCTTGTAGATCAGAGGCAGAAAACGGTCAAGCATGATCGTTTCAGAGATCAGGTGGATGTGTGGTGATGATTGCAGGAACGACTTGCTGTAGATGTTGGACAGCAGCCTCTTGCGGCTCGAGTGCGCCTTGTTATCGGTCATGGTGAACATGCTTACAGTTCTGGACACTACTGTTAGTATTTCGACAATGATGAGGGCCTTGTAATGGCCTCACCCAAAGGACCCGAATACTCGTGGGTACCATTCATGTTTCTCGAAGCCACCAGTGTATACACTTTTAATGCCACCATCAACGCAGTTGATTGAGATCTCAGAAGGTCCAAGTCTCACAATAGGCCCAAGCCTTTCATGAGCTGCCTGGATGGTTCGGTTGTTCAGGGCTTGGTATCTTTTCCAGATAATCCAAGCGGGAGATATGGGTGCTGTCCAATGTGCATTTGGGATTTTGGACAACGGTGATAGGAATGCCGGATAGATAATTAGTTTGTAGGTCAACACGAGGACGCAGGTGATGGCCGCGACGTTAGTGATAGCGGAAACTGCCATGATGCTGTGGAAATCCAGATGCAAGTGTACGTAGTAATGGACGTTTGCGACGTCTTCAGTAATGACCTTGGACAATCTGTGAGTGCACCTCGGCAAACGAGATTTGCGCAAGTAGATCGGCTATTTCCGGTGTACAGAGTAGTATGCAGTGGAAGCTACCAAGCACAAGATGCCTCCCTTGCGCCTAGCTCCAGAATCGTCCTTTGAAAGTACCGTAAGAGCACAGGAAGTATACCATTTCAGAGTCCTTCCAGACAAGCAAGTTGAGTCAAGAGCAGGCGCAGCATGACTCACTTTGTAGACAGACAAAGCTTCTTTAAGCGGGGAAAGACGCATCAGTGCTGCGATAAGAAAATGTAGCCAAAGATAAGAGCCGGTGGATGACTGCTTGCTGACATAAGTCATCCAATAGAGTCACATGTTTATTCATGGATGGAATAATTGGCTCTGTGCTCTTCTTGGTAAAGCTACAGTATATTTTACTCAGTTCATGAGTCAACCTTCTATGCTGTTATAAATCAGTTTGTTTGAAGTTCTGACTGGAGCCTACCAAGCTTGGCAATATGCAGGTTGATTTGCGCATTGGGGCGAGATATCCCTTCTAGGCCCGTGAAGGAATTACCCATATTTTTTCCCATTCCACAACATGTCCATCACGGTAGGACATATCAAAATCCACTCGGTAGGAAAGGAAAGAACACCTCGGCTCTCTTTTATGAGGTGAGCATTGTGGTCGTCTTACTGCACAGTAACAAGCATGACTGACTCCGTGGCAAAGAGTATTACACCATACGTCATTTCTGTCCCTGATCTACCTGGGAACCGCCAAACGCATTGGTGCATCAACACCAATCTCCGGCTTCTTCACACCGCATCATGTTAGAAAATCTGCCCGCTGAGATTCTCTACCTCATCGCATGCCACTTGCCTACCGTCAATGCATTGGTGCAGCTCTCTCGGACCAGCAGACGTCTGCATGAAACCATCGCCGTTGATAATTGGCGGATCTTTCGTGCCTTTGTACAGAAACAGTTCCCCGGTTCGAAAATCCCAGATTTCTGGAGGGAAGCAGCTCACTCGCTCACGTCTCGCTCGCGAGCCTTGGACAAGTATGCTGTCCTAGGTAGGTTTGTCTTTCCGCCACAGGCAACCAGAATCGGATCTGAAAAAGCGATCCGAGGTGACAGGCCTACGCTTGGCTATCGGCCCGCCCTGGACACATATGAGACCTGGAACGGTTCAGCGTGGAACGACCGCCGAGAGGTTCTCGCTTGGGGTGCGGCAGACGAAATCTTCTTGCGAGTCAAGCATACAGGCTCGAAACCCCTTGAGCAATGGATTATCTTCAGTGATCTCGAGCATATCAGCAGTGTAGACGACATTTGTGGCCTACACATTTTGAAGCCAAACCATCCGGCCTATGAAAAAGGCAAGGAGCATCTGATCTTTGCTCGCGCTCGGGGCGAACTGCATCATCTCGCGATATCAATCGATGAGCCCTCGCATAGTTACCAGCAAGTATTCGAGACGTATGGCTTGGGCGTGGAGCGCACCGACTTGAGCAACGGGGAGGAGCCGATACTCGCAGCGCACTGGAACAACGGAACCATCGCGCTGTACAACACGGTGTCGACGAGCTCGAGAGTATCAGAATTTGCGCGTCTCCAAATCGACCCGGCGAAGAGAACCCGCAATAGATACTCTAAGTTCCTTTCACCTGACCTCCTCGCCATCGGGACAGGGCGCACCGACGATGCAATCACAATCTCCTCTATCACCAGTGAGCGTGTATCACTCGACCGGGAAATCAACCTGAACCTGGTCGACTATGACAGACTCGATTCCTCTACGGCGATCAAGTCAGACGTCAACGCCATCGCACCTTTAAACAACACCGGACAGGTCTTTCTCGCAGGATGGGGCGATCGAGCCGTCAGGTAACATCTCATGACCCTTCAATCACAGACCCTCCAACCATTAACTCCTTGACCCAGACTCCACGACCTCCGCTCCAACAAAGAGCACGAGATGACCTACCGCGACCCCACCGACGACAACCCGATCTACTGCATCCATCCATTTACCCACAACCGCTTCGTAGTCGGCTCCGGCGGCGAAGCCCTCGTCAAAGTCTTCGACCTCCGCATGGACCACGGCTACAACTACCTTGACGCAAAGCCCACAATGCGGAGCTTCGCGCATACTTCCCGACGAACCACTCCCACCAAGTCCACCAAATCTCTCGACACACAACTCCGCCACCTAACCCTCAACTCCCCCAACGACATCAACCACAACCCGCGCAAGGAGATGTCAATCTACCTCTCCCACCCGGCCCCAACCACCTACCACCAGCCCCGGAGCCAGCACCCCCGCCCCTACCGCGGCGCCATCTACACGATGAGCTCCCCATCCCCCAGTTCCCCGACCATCTACACCGGCGTCGCCGACGGCGTGATGCGCCTGGACTTCGTCGCGACCGACGACCTCACCATCGGCGCGGACCGCGCCTGGTTCGCGGACCCGCTCTCCCTCAACCTGCCCGCAACGACCCAACCCACGCGTCGTCGTCATCGCGCGGACCGCACCCTCGATCTATCGGGATACGAGCGTCCCGATTCCGCGAACAGCACCGCGGTCGTCCGGCTGCGCACGCAGCAGCCGTTTGACGCGGTCACGGACGAGGACGTCGAGGATGAGCTTGCGACCGGCTGGGATCGTCGGTGGACGAAGTTGAGGGATTTCAGCGCCTGGCGGCGAGCTGTATGATCCGAGGAGTTAGGCTCAGCGGGCTAGTTGCGGAGCTGGATCTTGAATACACGTCATGCCGGTGTGGGTTTCCGCGGGGGTGTGGTAACAGGGTTTCCATACACCTCAGGGAAAAGGTAGCTTTTTTCCTTTCGTTTGTTTCGGTTGCTGTAAAGTCAACAGCAAGAACTACATGGATAGACTGGATGTGCCCGGAAAGTTGGAAAGAACAAGTCATCATAGATCCTGTAGGTAGACGTCGACCAAGTTCGTTTCTTTAGGTTGCTGAAATCAGCCGAAGACGGTTTTAGATACAGTTAGAAGGGAAAGGCAATCAGAGATGACGTTGATTGAGAAAAGAAATAAGAAAGCAAAATTCCGACCCGGCTCCATTAGCGCCTTGCTGCAAGAAGCAAACATTTTTGAGGGACCCCATGATCTAAAGCATGCATCTAGATCTGATTATCTAATAATGTGACAGAGAATGGCTTTTTCTCCCTGGGATTGGTTGACCAAGTCTAGCAGCTTCTGTGATGTAGCCAGTGCACGTGGAAAGCTAGACCAAGTTGACCACAAAACCCTTCGACCAGAATCGATAGCGAAAAAAAGCAAACAGGATGGGGTATTGGACGACTGAAACGCATCATCTAGTCATCGAACTTGAAGGACTTGCCGCCAGAGATGTCAATGGGACCGCCACGGTAAGATCCACGCTTCTTCTTGTTCTTCTCCTTAGTGAAACCCTTGCCCCGGGTGACAGACAGATCTGCCCAGGCCTTCTCGGCATACGCATAGGGGATGTATTCGTTCGAGGGGTGGTGGTCGTACGGCTGCTCGCTGAGGAGAGCCAGGGGCGTGGGGCGAGCACCGGTGTGCTTCTTCTTAGGGAACTCGTTGCCAGGAGCAGGGCTGGCGCTGGCAGAGGGCGTCTGGCTCACTTTAGCAGCGGGTGCTGCCTTCTTCGAGTCAGATTCAGAGTTCTCGACGGTCTCGCTGCTCTCGGAGTTCGGAGTGGCTTTTCCGCTCTCTTCATCGGAAGAGGATTCGGAATCGGAGGAAGAAGAGCTAGAGGCCGAGGTGGTCTTCTTCTCCTTCTTTTCGGGCTTGGCCGTCTCCTCCTCATCACTGGAGGAATCGGAGTCAGACTCGGATTCGGACTCAGAGCTGGACTCGGAAGAACTATCTTCTTCGCTGGATGATGAAGACTCGGACTCGGAAGAAGAGGAGGATGAGTCAGAAGAATCAGACTCGGAATCGGAGGAAGATGAGGCCTCAGCAGAAGACAGTTTGGTCTTCTTGGACTTGGGAGCCCCCTCCGCCTCAGACTCAGACTCGGATTCGGAAGAGCTAGATTCGGCCTTGCGCTTGGTGCCCTGGGACTTGGAGGCAGGGGCAGCAGCAGCCTCTTCCTCCTTCTCGTCATCCGCATCGCTGTCGGAATCGGACGAGGAAGATGAAGAAGAAGGCGAAGAGCTTCTAGACTGCTTCTTCTGCGTCTTCGGGGCATCATTCATCTCAACGTCGGAGTCGCTGGAGTCGTCCGAGCTGCTCTCGCTGTCTGAGGAAGACGAGCTAGACTCATCCGAGCTGTCGGATTTGGAAGACTTGGGCTGCTCCCAGGTTTTGAAAAGCTCCAACAAAGAAGGCACGTTCTTGGTATCGGCACTGATAGACTTGCTGCTCAGCTCTTTGGCGAGAGCCTCGTGGGTCTTCGACAGTCCGTTCTCGGACAAAAATGAGGAAATTGCAGCGACGAGGGGCGCAGGAGGGGCAGGAGCCTGTAATGTAGATAATTTGTGAGTATACCCGCCCGGCGCATTCTAATCGACCTTGACAATAAGTCAAAAGTTGCTTACCGTCTTCTTGTCCTTGGACATCTTGGTAGGAGAGGATTTCTGAGCCTTCTTGCCGGCCATTGTAGCGCTCTGGTGCAGGAGATCTGAGGCTTGAGCGAAGGACAAAGACTCTCGGGCAGTGACTGGATGTTTTCGATCTTTCCTTTATCGGACTGACAGAAAAAAAAAAGTTCAAGAGGAAAAAAGGGACGGCGGTCCGGCAGAAGGCGGTCAGTGATTTGCCACGCTTTGACTGGACGGTCAAAGTTGTGCTTTCACGTGGCGTCCCGTGACTGAGGCTTGAATGAGGGTCACGTGAGACATACTGTAAATCGATCTGGATCGACCGATGATGAAACGCATCATCTCAGTAATCCATGATGAACCAAATGACAGCTGGAAATTTCGGAGGAGGGAATAGCTTTCCTCTGAGGTTGCTCCTTGTAGTGTGTTTATGATCTGAGATTGGTTTTAATAGCAAAGCAGTTCTACTTGAATGCTTGACTGCGGCAATATATTTGTACACAAGAGTTAATAAATTGATCTGATACATACTCGGTACTACTCGTAGCGAAAGGAGCAACCTCAAGTTGGACATCGTCTCTAAGTCCGTCACCTCCCTCAACGCCCTGCGCTGATACCTCAATCACCCAAAAATGCTATCCAGGCTCTAGATTAACTGCTAACTTCACATTCTGAAAAGTAGTTTGTGCAACACTACTCCACTCTTCGCCAATGACATCTGGCCGCGACCCGCGGGGAAGAACTGTTCAAGAATCAATTAATGCACATAATTAAATGACTGGTGGTTGGATTGAGGGCGAGACCAAGAGAACTGATTCTACTGGTAAGGTTCCGGTTGTTGGAGCATATTTGGATACAGTTAGACATAGATGATCAGGCTCAGCGGTGACTTTTGGTCATTGTCGTAACATGTATGCAGAGCTAAGACGAAGATAGCACCTCCCGAACTGAGTTATGAAGCGGTTTCGGGTTTATATATTTTGTTCCTGAAAACCGAGCTATATCCTCAAATGATGTCAAATGATGAGTCGGTTTAATGCATGTCTAGTCAGCCTCGTTCTGGTGCCGTGTGTGCTGCTGCTGCTGCCCGCGCACGAGCTCCTCCCTTGACTTCCGCCCGCGACAATTCAGTTAGTGTCCGCTGCCGCCCATCAATTAATGACCTAATCCAACTCTCCGCCTCCTTCATCTTGCTTGTGTTTCGCATTCGGGTTTGCTCTTAACGTGATTCTATATGTCGCTCGCCCCCTTATACTAAGAGTACCGGCCTTCTTTCAAGTTCTGGCTTGCTGCGACTTAATCCTTCCACAGGCTGTTTCAATTTCCCCCGTCGCGCTGCGCCCCTTCTCGTGTTTTCCTTGCCCTCCCCGACAATGTCCACTTGGTGTCTGGCACATCCTGAGTGATCCAGGCTTCCGTGCTTAAACAACAAATATGAGCAGCCGTGATCGCCCACGGGGCCCTCCGTCGAGTGATCTCCCCCCTCAAAGGGATCCGCGTCGTGGAGGCGATGGTCGCAATGGCGGATTTGCCGGACCCGGCGATGGCTCCTTGTCAAGGGCGGAGAAGTTTGAGGACGAAAAGAGGCGGATCATTCACAGCTGTTTCTCAAAGAAAGATAGTGATGGAACTTGTATGCCATCCGCCCCTTCAAGGTCAATTGTACTGAGCCAAACTGATCGCCTCTCTCTCCGTTCCAGTGGTCGAGTCCTACATAACACATGTCCGCATCATTGAAGATGCGGCGTACCCGTCTACCCCCGCTCCCCCGAACTCGCCGCCCGAAAACAAGAAGCCTAGAGTAATCATTGTTGCTGTCAGAAGATCGGGCAGAGTGCGCTTGCACAAAGCTAGGGAAAATAACGACGGATCTTTCTCGATTGGGAAAACATGGATGCTGGACGACTTATCCGCCATTCAGTCGTATAACGCCCTGGTACCGTCGACCCCATTAGAACAACAACAGAAGCAGTGGGCTCTCAATCTCGGATTTGTGGTCACCGTGGGGAAGCCCTATTATTGGCATGCGCGGACCTCGAAAGAGAAGGACTTTTTCATAGGCAGTCTGATCAAGATCTATCGCAAATATACTGGCGGCAAGGTGCCCACGCTTATCGGATTCGACGATCGTGAACGGCAACTGCTGGCTGGGCCCCCTCCGACTGCACCGCCAGGCCCTCAAGCCCCCCATCCCGGCCCTTCTCGATCTGATGTGACCTTACCTCCCCCTCGCCCACCCTCATCTCAGGGTAGTCGACCTCAGTCTCCGTACACAAGCCGTGCCCCCAGTCGCGATGGACCCAAGCGGCCTCCGGCCGAGGAACACACTCTCCGGAGTCAGAAGAGTCGAGAGCAGATGGCAAGGCCATCCACTGGTCAGTCTGCGAAAAGCGGGTTTTCACCACTTGGTCCCCCGTCACACCCGCCGCCGATACCCCCGGACCATCGTGAGCAGCCTCCCCCTCGTGCGACAGAACGAATGGGAACAGATTACAGGGGCCCGAAGGCACCTCTGCCCCCTCCGCACGAATCTAGAAGTAGGGACTTCCCTTCAAGTCTACAGGTTGCCCCTTCTGCTGGGTCACTGGAGAGGTCCAACGGCCACAACATTCAGATTGGCGAAATCAGCCCAGGAGTCTCTAACCTGGAAGTTCGGCCACCGTCCTCCCGAGATGGAAGGCCAGGTCCCGAGTCCAGACCTGCTATGCTCCGTACCCATGATTTACACACTAGTCGCAGCAAGGATGGCCTTCGACCTACCACACCCGGGTCGGTCTCCGGAGAAAATCGCACTTTCTTGCACAGTCCAGCAAGTAGTGCGGGACCGCGATCACCTCTGCGAGAAGCATCAGAAAGGTCGTCTAGGTCAGATATACAGACAGAGCTCCAGGAGCTCGAGGCTCCTGTCAGCTCAATGGTCGCAGACCTGCCGTCCACTTTGATGCCGGGCATGTCAGCAGGCAAAAAGACGCCAACGACTCCCCAGAATCCCGAACCTATCGCTGTTCCAGTTCCCGCACCCGCATCCGCACCCGCACCTGCATCCGCACCACCACCAGCACCGGAATTGATCATAGCACAACCAGAACCTCCCCAGTCACAGGACGCTGCCGAACCAGCTACAGAATTGGAACCTTCTATGTCAACCAGTCCTCCGGATGAACTTGAACTTGTAGCGGAGAACCTTGACGCGCACCGCCCGGGCCTTGGTCCGATGGTAAAGAAGAAGCAAAGCAAGGATCTTGCTGGAGCATTTCGCAAAGCCGCCACTGCTTACGGCGCTTTCAAGCCGAGACCCGGAGGTGCAGGCGAGAGGCTTCTAGCAGCGGCGAAAAAGCAGAAAGCAGCCACGGATGAACCCGACGGTATCACGAGCGTTGTTCCGGCCCCATTTTTGCTTCGGACGAACAGCGACAACACAACGGTTGGCCCCGACAGCCCGGACAAAGAGGAATCTCCTGCTTTGCCTCAAGCCACAGAAGAACAGCCCGCTGCACCTCCACCAATCACAATTCCTGTATCGGAACCTCCTACGGTCGAAGTAACCCAAGCTCCTCCGCTAGAGCCCGTCGTCGACCCAGTCGAGGCACCCAGTGATACGCGGGATACATCGAGACCCACGGTACAAATTGTCACGGATGAGAGGTCAAGGTCTGTGTCGCCTTCACCACATGACCGTCGCCGTAGACGTCACGAAGACAACACAATCAAGTACTGCCAGTCACTTGGGATCAACCCCAGTATTTTGGTAGGGCGAGGTGTGGAATTCGATGATATTTTGACAGATCTTGGCTGGAACGGACGGCTGAGCGATGAGAAGCGTATCGAAGATCTTGAAGCGGATATTCGTCGTGAGATAGGGCGGGTTGAGGCTACCAGCTGGCTTGGTAATCTGGAGCAACAGGAGGGGAAAATTGATCAACTGGCCAGACTCATTGACAAGACAGTCGAGGAATGCGAAGAGTTGGATAACCTTCTTACTCTGTACGCGCATGAACTGAATGTAAGTCATATTCCCTGGCATCTCTATGATCTGAATCTTAACATCTTGCTAATCGAGCTATAGACACTTCACGACGATGTGGCCTACATTGAAACACAATCGCAGGGTCTGCAGGTGCAGACCGCTAACCAGAAGTTACTTCAGAATGAGCTACAGAACCTCCTGAAGACACTCTCTATTTCTTCTGATGACCTACGTGCGCTGAAGGAATCGTCGCTGAGCAATCCAGATGGTCTACGAGATACTGAACTCGCGCTGTCAACATTGTATAAGGCAATGCTGATGATAGATTCTGATATACGGCAGAACAAGAGACGGCTGGCCGACTCTGCTGGAGATCATGGCAGCCTGGGCGTTTATGCTGACACTGAAATTGGACAGATGCGAGCCATTCAGGAGAAGAAAGAGGAATATCGCACACATGTTCGTGTGTTTTTGCAGCGATTAAAACAATTCATGACGATCGCCTACAGAATTGCAGAGCAGAAGAGGATCGACGCTGTAGCAGCCGCTGTACAAAAGGATCCGCTTAAGCTCAACAGCGAAGCTCGGGCGTACTGTCGTCGAGAATTGTGGCAGTACCATGCAGTGATTCTCTTTGCGAGGGAAGTCAGTGGAGGAGAGTGGCAGGCCCTGATCAATCTCTATGAACAACAGGCTAAAGCGCCTTATCAGAATGACTTCCGAGATAACAATTTGTCTTGGAAGAAGATGGCAAGAAAATCCACAGGAGATGAGCAGGAGCTCCTTTTCACCCATCAAGAGAAGGAAAAGGAGAGTGAAGGTATCACGATGGCTGCTCGCAAGCTCACAGTCCGCAGAGGCAAGACTATCCGTGCGGCGGCAGGACTCAAGCTATCTTCTAGTGATAAGCAAACCGGCAAGCTTGAGCCTTGTGAAGCATTCGCAGGCACACTCCAAGAGACACTGAGAATGATTTCCGAGGAGCAGAACTTCATCGTTCATTTCTTCCACCTGAACTCGCTCTCTACAGTCGAATTTCCTGACCTAGTCGCTTCGGGCGCTCCTGAGGAGCGCAGGGTTCCTAATTTCAGCATTAAACAATTGCATGACCCGGATCGAGGCATGGCAAAGAAGGTGGAACAGGGTATGGACGAGCTCTTCTCATTCTGGCCAACTGATATGCAAAATCTTGTAGACTGGGCTATTCAAGCCGACCCACTGTAAGTGTTAAGCGTGTCCCACCTTATCATTAATCGATATGCTGACTCGCATAACATAGGCAAGGAATTGGTATCCTGCTGGCGTTAGAAAAGGCTATGTCGGAGTTCGATGATGCAAATCAAGACTTCATTGTCCACTCACTGCAGAAACTGCATTCCCGACTCCTTGGCCTTTTCAACCGTTTCGTGGATGAACAAATTCGAGGCATCGAGGAAACCAAAGTCAAGGTGAACAAGCGCAAGGGTGTCATCTCTTTCATGCGAGTGTTCCCGAACTTTGCCACTGCAGTGGAGAACCTCCTTTCGCAGCAGTCGCAGGAATTCTATGACATCCGGATCAGTGTCAACGAAGCTTACGATCGCATTAATCGTGCCATGTGGGAGTCGCTCAAATTCATCGCCAAGGAAGCTCCGGGCCAACCTACAGCAGCGACAGCCGCGTCCGGCGATCCGGAGGATAAAGAGATCTTGAACTATCACATTCTCTTGATCGAGAACATGAACCACTACGTGGAAGAGGTCGGGATTCGGGATCTCCTGGTTCTGGAGCGATGGCACGCCCGGGCGCAGCAAGACATGCAAGAGCACTTGAAGCTGTATCTGGATTCGGTCATTCACCGACCTCTAGGTAAGCTGCTCGAGTTCGTCGAGTCCGTTGAGAGTTTACTGGCGAGCGGTATGAACCCCGCGGACATCGCCAGCCGGCCCAGCCACTCGCGATCGGTGGCGAAGAAGGTGATGGCTGCGTATGACGGAAAGGAAGTCCGACGAGGCATTGAAGGGCTAAAGAAGCGGGTTGAGAAGCACTTTGGTGATGCGGACGATCCGGGCCTGAGTCGGAGTCTGGTGTTGAAGGTGCTCCGGGAATGCGAGGGTCGTTACGAGGAGGCGTACGACCGTACCCGGCGCATCATTGACACAGTGTATGAGGGACAACTGGAGCTGGAATGGCGCAAGGAGGAGGCAGCTGCCATGTTTCAAAGATGACAGATGGTTATTATTGGTATTTTTAAGTTTCTGCCCTTGCTTGGCTGTCTGTTACCTGCTGTTGAGTGCGAATCATACAAGGGGCGCATGGAATTGGGCGTTTGCTTCTTCATTTTCCAGGTTTACATCTCTTGTTATAAGCCGCTGGCTTGTCCGAGTACCCTTGTCTATTTCTGTACTTATAGTTCGTGAATAGGTCGTAATTGTTGAGTGGGGTAAGGGGATTTCCCGCACTCCTGTATCGAAGAACTACCCCATCAAAGAAGGATTGATTCTATGGCGTTGCTAGCCAAGGCCAGATGTCGTCTCTGGCGGGCTCACGCATGGTCCGAAGTAAGGACTCGGCCCCTAGTTAAGGTACTTAGCCAGTGGCCCATGCGGAACGCGGCAAGTACAAGTAGTCTATGAGTAGATGGAATCGCGTTTTGGTGTCGATCACTCGGGGAGAAACTTCAGGTGAACTAATAATGTCAGCGGTTGACCCCTGGTTCTGTGTTTGCAGACAGCCGATCTTCACCCGGTCCAGGTAAACGGCCAAAATTGCGGCCGCGACACGAGCCAGTATTGGATGGATTTCAGGGGTGGGAATGGGTCTGTGCTGGAAGGTGAAAGAGGATCTTGGTCAGGCACTTGTGTCACTGTGGCCACTGTGGTGTGTGTGTGTGTGCCTTGCCTGACAGTCACTAGCATAAATCAATGATTAGATATGCTATTGCCAGAACAAACAAACAAACCGAGAGAGGAATACATTTGACCTGCCAGAAAAAGCAAAGAGCTGGAACGGAACACAGTAACGTGCTGTTTGTTGCATTACTGGTACTGGCTAGAAAGCCACCAAACCGGTGCATGAGAGTCGATCGATCGGCTCGATCCCGATGGATCCATGGATGGGCGATAGTAATTAGTCTCAGATCCCGTGAATTGGGCGGGCAAAGGGCAAGGGAACCAGGGCTCACGTAGGAAGCAGACAGGAAAGTTATAGGTAGTGGAAGATGTTGACAGGGACGTCAAGAGCCAGATACTGCATATAGCAGCAATAGAATAGTTAAATCAAAGTTAATCTCGCAGGCAATTGCATTCCCTTTGGGAAACACTGAGTACGAGTCATTGATCAATGCTAAAATGAGATAGAAAGTGGCCCAGCCAAGTCTAGCCTCTTCCATAGACTGATTAGCCTCAGGCTTCTTCCTCCCTCTCTCTCTCTCTTTCTTTTTCCCGGTTGATTATTATTATTGTTGTCTCGACTAACTTACACCACAGTACGGAGTACACTACACTCACTACACTACACTACCTGTAACTAACCAGTAACTACTCCGTACTCCGTACCCTTTCAGTTGTTACTTCTCGACTCTCCCTCTTTTTCTCTATCCACTCCATCCACTCCATCCACTCCTCCTCCTCCACTCCCCTCCTCCCCATCTTCCCAATTAATCATTTCCCCATCCTTTTCGGGCTTCAAGTATCTTCCCACCCTTTCCCATTTCCTTTTCTTTTCTTCTTGCTTATAATCTTATATTCTTCTCCCTGCTCGATCGCTGCAACTTGGTAAGCTTCTCCCGCTCCCCCTCTCTACGTTTCAGTTGTGTGAAGTTTCTCCACAGTTCCTGCCAAGTGAACAATTGGGCTCCACTCCCATTCCAACTGCTTAGGGGAGAAAGAGGGCGCGCGTCCGCCGCACCCACGAATTTATTCAAGCTCCCCAAGGCAGAAAGCAACACAGAATTAGTCAAGTCGATGGGGCTGTCTTGTCCGGTGTGCGGGATGCTTACAACCACCGGCCTCATAACTATTCCTTCTATGTTATACCTTGTGCGATCAACAGGGTAGTGGTCACGGTCCCGGAGACCCTGCGCGACTCCCGCTCCTTGATGAACACACAGCTCTTTACACTTCCGCTTATCATGACCCTACTGACCCCTTCGACTCGCATTGAAACATTCTACGCTTGCGTTTCGCTTATTGGAAATTCATTCACTAACCGCACAGTTTCCGCGACGTATCTAGTGACCTCAGAACCGCACCCCTAAACCAAAATAACCTTAAGAAAGACAGCACGCCTCCGGGTCGCAATCGATTCGCGCTCGCACACGTCTGACGGATTGCCCGCATTCCTCCCCTTTCCACTTGTTGCAGACGGCTGCATGTAGCGCCCCCCCCCCTTATCTCAATCGATCAGGCCACAGATTCCCTTCTACCCCTCGCGACCCCGCTTTCGTGGTGCTCTCCTCATTCCTGAGACGATCCCCCTCCCTTTGAAAACCACCGCGGCGGGGTGTTGTCGAAATTGCCGCCTCGCATCGCAGTTATGCCCTGGCGGCCTCTGCCTCGCATTGCTTTTGCCGTGGCCATCTATCCCTTCCAGCCTTCTACTCCGGCAGATTTACCCCTCGAGCTCGGCGATGAATTGTACATAATTGAGCAAGGAGGCGCTGATGGAGAATGGTGTCGCGGCTATCTGGTCGCTCCGCCGTCGCTGCTGGCGGGACTGACCAGCACCAAGGGACAAACACTAGAGGCGAGGGTCTTTTCAGGCATCTTTCCACGGAACTGTGTCGAGATTCGCGAGGTCTTGGGCGACGGGGAGAGGACTATAACCAATGGAGACCGGTCGAGCATGGTCTTAACGCCTGGTACTGAGGGAGATGTGCGAGACAGCATCACTTCCTACCACGACGATGAGGGCCCGCTTGGGGAAGTTTCCGATGTGGTGATTGCGAAGAAAGGCAAGCCGTCGCAGATCTTCATCCACAAACTCGACGATGACGATCAGTCGAGTCCACGCTCACTTGTGAGCCATATCCTCGGCGCAGTCTCGGTGCCTTCGACACCTGTCATTGTGGCTCCGCGAGACCCGAACGCACCCAAACCGGCCGCACCAGTGCCGATGCTCAAAATCGGGGATGAAACGCCCACGTCGCTTTCGGAACCGCTCGTCGATGAGATCGCATCCTGCCTGCGCGAATGGCATTCGACCAATCTACACCAATTGCTACTGTCCCGCCAGTACGAAACCGTGGAGGAAATGTCGAAAATCGTACAAGAACTCGACCTCGCAAGGCGACAACTTCAATACAATGTGCTCACGGCCAAGGAGAAGGTTCAGTTGCGACAGGAGGTAGTGTGGAAGCTGGTTCAGGGTAATAAAACGTTGGGCGGAGAAGTCATTGTCAGAGATCCCCTGCAAAGGGGTCGTTTGCTCACGGGTGACGATTCTGCGGTGCAATTGACCAAGTTACAATCCGAAATGAGTATGCTCGATAGTACTCCCGCACATCAGTCAGACGCGGCTTCTCTGCATCATCTGCTGTTGGAAGTGAATGCTGTGTCTGGCCATGCGCCTGGGCCCGTGACACTGGCACTTTATTTGTGTTCACAGTCGGAGACTGGCGCTCTGACTCCACTGTCAGAGACCTACCTCCTCGACATTCCTTCCCCCGACAAATTCGCAAATTTGGGCCAGAGTAGCAAACTCAAGACTCTCTTTACCAACATGAGCAACACGGATTTTGGCGATGATACTTCAAACGGTCCAAAGCTGTATTTGATCGTGGCCGTTCGAGCATCGGAAACCGCCTCTGTGGCCAGCGCCGCAGCTCAATCAAGATCTTCACTCTCGCGCGACGGCTCCACGATCAGCAGAACCCCCACTGTAGCCAACCACGCGGCGAAGAACAGTCTGAAATCCCGTCGCAGTATGATGTGGACATCAAAGCGCGGCGCGACAAGCACCGAAGTGCTAAAAGAAGCTAGCAAAGGACCCCCTCGGTCTTCGGAGAGTGTCTCAAGCAATAAGGAACGGGCCAGTGGTGGCCAACCTACAAAAGAGCCAACCCATATTCGGACATTAGGGATCGGCTTCCTGGAAGTCTCCCAAACCTTACGCTCGGAAAAAGATGCAGAGGAAGTGATCAACATTTGGTCTCCATCTGGCGATAGCGATGAGAAGGAAGGACGCGCCGACAATTTCGACAGCGTCGTTCGCACCCTACTCCCAAGTTCGACTGGCAAGTATGTTCGATCTCAGCCAGCTGCTCGGCTCCATCTTCATCTTTCTCCGCACACCAATCCCGACGCAGATGCCTTGGTCCGAAAGAATCCTACGACCATGCTGAACGTCACCCAAACCCGACGCATCGGCTTTTCTCAAGCCCCGACTAAACCCAGATCTGATATATACGTCACTATCTCTCACGCCACTTTCCCTGATGATGCCCTTCTCTCCCATCCCCAGTCAGGCCAAGTCCCTGTACCGACGCTCACTGGCCTTCGTAATCTGCAACTGACTCTTGAGGTCCGGACCTCGTCAGGAGCACGCGTTGACCGCTGCGTTTTTCCTGCATCTAACCAGCCTTCACAGACCGCATGGCGGACCACGGTAGCTGAACGAGGCGCGCCGTGGAATCAGACAATTCGGCTTAACATCCCGACAGACCAGATCCCAGGATCGCATCTAATAATGAGTATCGCAGATGCCCCGGAATTCCCCTTTGCTCTGGCCTGGATGCCTTTGTGGGACAACAAGGCTTTCATGCGAGATGGCCCTCATTCACTTCTGCTGCATGCTTACGACAAGTGTACCTCGAGTATTGAAAACGGGAAGGGCGCTTATTTGTCTCTCCCGTGGAGCTCACTTGGTAAGAATGAGTCAGCAAAGGACGAAGCTATCACAGGACCCTTGGCTACATTGCGCCTGGACACGCACTTGTGCAGCACCGAATACTCCCAGGACCAAGTGATACTCAGTCTTTTAAACTGGAAAGAGCGACCTGTCGATGAAGTTCTGGACACTCTGAAGCGGGTACTCTTCGTGCCAGAAATTGAAATCGTGAAGCAACTCAGCAGTGTCTTGGATTCTTTATTTGGGATATTGGTTGAGAACGCTGGAAATGAAGAGTATGAGGACTTGATCTTCAACAACTTGGTGACGGTTCTGGGCATCGTGCATGACCGACGGTTCAACCTTGGCCCGCTCGTTGACCACTATGCTGAAAATCAATTTAACTTCCCTTTTGCCACGCCGTGTCTTGTCAGAAGCTATTCGCGCCTTCTTCTGGCCAACTCTGATCCACAACAGTCGCGCAATTTGCGCGCCATGTTCAAGGTGGGCCGACATGTTCTGAAGTTCATCATCAATGCCCGACAACAGCAGAAGGCCAAGGAAGAAGGCATTGGAATTACCCGAGTTCAGTCAACCTTCAATCGCGACTTGCATACCATTTTCAAATCACTTGAAGCTCTTATGAAGGACACGTCACCCGCGACGGTAGGCAGCAAAACGCTCGTGGTCCAGCATTTTCACACATGGTTGCCTGAACTATCTAAAGTCCTCGGACGAGATGAGACGATCATGATTGCGCTCAGTTTCATGGATGCCTGTAAAGATGTCAAAGGGATGCTGATCCTGTACAAGCTCGTTCTCATTCAACATTACACCCGCCTCGAGATTTTCAGCTCCGGCTCGGAGAGACGGAGCCTGATCTCCAGCTGCATCAGCTGGTTGGCTCCGTACTGGGGTGCGACAGGGGCTGTATCTGACCTGTATCGCGACCAAGTACGCTTGTGCTGCGCGGTGGTCGCGGAGTTGTTGAAGCAGCCTGATTCTCTTATTTATGAGTTCATGCCAAAGATCGTTTCATCATACTATTCTATTATACCCGATGGGGTGGAAGAAACCAGCTACCTCTCCTTACTTTTCAGCAAAACGTTCCCGTTCCAAGTCAAGTCCTCGAAACACTCGCAGCGGTTCGATGAGGCCTTGGTTGAACTTTCTGCGATCATGGCCGCTACGGCAGCGGTGCCCAACCCCAAACGGCCCCGGTTGAAGGGCTTAGAGCTGTCTGCTTTCCTCTCCCAGGCGTTCGAGGTTCATACCTCGATACTGAACTGTGAGGCTTACCCTGAAAGCTGGCTAAGCGTGCACGTTTACAACCACCGCGCGACAGTCAAGAGTCTCGAATTCCTTGCAGGAATCCTCATCAAGAAATTTCTTCCAGCTCCGGAAGAGGCTGAGACTTTCGACACAAGACTCTGGGAGAATTTCTTCATGACTCTGCTCAAGGTCGTTTCGAGCGAGGCGCTCGCTCTCGAGACCTATCCAGAGCAGAAGCGACGTGCCATCTGGAAAATTGCCGGCGATGTTCGAGAACAAGGCGCGGATCTACTACATTCCAGCTGGGAAGCCATCGGATGGGAGACTACCGACGAGGAGAGTGAGCGCTACGGTTTGAGTAAGCTGGGCGGCTACCAAGTGCAATATGTCCCCGGACTGGTGGCACCCATTATCGAACTTTGTCTCAGTGTGCATGAGGGGTTGCGACATGTTGCTGTCGAAATCTTGCGGACGATGATTCTGAGCGAATGGGGGCTTAACCAGGATTTGTCCATCATCGAGACGGAGGTCATTTCCAGCCTTGATAACCTATTCAAACGGAAGAATATGAGTGGAAGCGTGGTGCAAAAGTTGTTCATCCAAGAATTGATGGATCATTTTGAGGGCTACTCTGTGTTCGATGAGGATCTCTCCGAAGCAGTCGGTGCTTTGATTGCTACGGTGGATGAGCTTCTGGATCTCTTTGTAGCCTCACAAGGTGGATCGATGGCCGAGAGTCTGCATACTCTTCGATTGATGAAGTATATGAAAGACATGGGCCGAGAGGATATCTTCATACGCTACGTGCACGAACTGGCTCAAGTTCAAGCTGCCGCAGGCAACCTCACTGAAGCTGGCCTGGCGCTTCAATTCCATGCCGACTTATATGACTGGGATCCAAGACGGACACTGCCGGAGCTGCTCAATCCTGCTTTTCCTGAGCAAACATCATTCGAAAGAAAGGAGTCGCTGTACTTCTCGATTATTCAGTACTTCGAGGACGCCAAAGCTTGGTCGCACGCGCTGGTGTGTTACAAGGAGCTCACGCAGCAGTACGAAGACACGACTATGGATTTTGCCAAGCTTTCAAGGGCCCAGAGCTCCATGGCCAAAATCTACGACCACATTGCGAAGCAAGACAAGCAGATCCCGCGATATTTCCGTGTGTTGTACAAAGGACTCGGCTTCCCACCTACTCTCCGTGACAAGGAATTCATCGTCGAAGGTGCTCCGAACGAACGGATGGCGTTCTTTGTGGACCGTATGCAGAAGGAGCATCCAGCGGCGCAGATTATGTCGTCGGGTGAGATTCGAGACTACGAGGGCCAATTCCTGCAAATCAGCTCTGTCAGCATCTACCGGGATGTGGATCATCCAGTCTACCAGCGGTCCAAGGTTCCGCAGTCAGTCAGAGATCATTTGCTGGTTTCTGAGCCTTGCCAGTTCACAACAACGCTGAGGAGACATGTGCGCGACACGGATGTGACGCAACAGTGGGTGGAGAAGCTCATTTACACTACCGCAGAACCCTTCCCCAACATTTTGCGTCGCAGCGAAGTGGTGGAGGTGAAAGAAGTCTCGCTGTCGCCGTTGCAGAGCGCTCTGGAACGGACTTGGCGCAAGACTCAGGAGCTGACGTTGCTACAGCGGCGGGCTGCATCTGGTGAGGACACTAGCCTGAATAACCTTACGGAAGCAGTGCAGCAATTACTAGATCTCAATGCAGCCACTCCGAACTGCGTTGCGTCCTACCGGCAGTTTTTGTCCGATGTGCCAGACGAGGACGAGGGTGGACTGGTGACACCCAAACCCGCAGATCCGATGAAGAACGCACTGGCAGTAGCTCTCATCGACCATGCGTTGGCGATCAAGCATGCCCTGGCGCTGTACCACCGTCCGGCCCACCAAGCCACGCAAGCGGAGTTGATGCGTCGGTTCGAGGAGGCATTTGCGCCGGAAATTGCCTCACTCCGTCCAGTCGAGCCTGAAACTCCTCCCAGATCCCCACGCAAGTCAGCCAACTCGGTGGAAGGGCGCCAGAAGCCGTCTAGCTCGCGAGCCTTGAGCCCGGAGCAGGAGTTGATTCGCTCCTCGCGCAAGACACATGGTCGTAAGCACTCCGCGAAGCAATCAGTCAGCCATCGGATTAGTGTCATGAACCCTTTCAAGCGGACCAACCATGCGGCAAGCAACTCGGTGACTACAGTACAGGAGGAGCCGAAGAAGCAACCAGGCGTCAACGGAACCCAGGCAGCGGAGCAAGGTCAGGGAGAATCCGGCGAGCATGATGATGCGGCCACGATTCACAGTCGCACTACGATCCAATCGCGCGATACTCAGACCAAGCGACGGAGCCTCTTTGGCGAAGTACTGCACAAGCACGGCTCATCCCTGTCCATCAGCAGCAATGCTCCCGAAGAGACCCAGAGCCAGAAGGAACAACGGTCAAGAAGTGCTTCTCGGGACACTGTTGCCATCTCACAAGATTCCGTCAGCCGCACGACCTCTCGTACCAACGGAACTGTTGAAGGGCGTCCCTCGGTGAGCGGTCCGAAGACTGGGGGATGGTCGACTATTCCTTCCATCAGTGACTACCCACGGCCCGTGACGCGGAGCAGCATGGCATCTGTGCGCAGTCCAGAGATCACCAGCCCGACAGGACATAGTAACGGGCACAGCAATGGCCATGGTCATGGCCATGGGAAGCGCGATTCGATGATGAAGCGATTCAGTCTGCTCAAGGGCGTCAGTCGAAAGGGCAGCCGTCATGACTTCAAAACGGAAACTCCGCTGCGGGAGGAGTGACCTTGATTTTCTTTTTCTTTTCTGAATTCTCTCTCTGATACTCTTTTCTTCTTAATGTCTGGACATTAACCTTTTTAACTGTGCATTTTTTTGACCTATTGGATAAGCGTTGAATTCAACCTTGTCTTGCATTGCAGCGATGCTTTGATCTTACCTGACTTCACTTCACTTCTCATTCTCAACCCTTTCGTCCACCGATCCAGGCACGATACCATTTTTATTATTATTATTACCGAGATACCTTCGTTCTCTTTCCCCTCCTTCTTCCTCCCCTCGATTGGATCTCATTTGTGATTAGAATATTTTTTGTAAGATATTTCGACGATCTGTCCGGACCTTGCATTCAAAACTATACCCCGGAGAAGGTGAAAGATTTACGGAGTGGGCCCTGATAGGTGTATATCATTAGGTAGTTCAGTGTTGTATACAAGATTGTTGCAGGAGCCCAGTATCAGTAGCAGTGTACAGTGTACATTCTCTTGGTGATATCGAACGGGAAGCAAGGTGGATATATAACAATAGAACAGAAGCAGGCCACAAACAGCAAAGCAACTAGCAAAGCAACCGACCAAGCAACCAGCAAAGACAACAGACATACGGTCATTTCTCGCTCTCTCTTTCTATCTTCCCTCTATGTGAAGCAATCGCACCCCTTCCACTTCAAGCGTGGAGCTAATTGCCCTCACCCACAACAACCGGCAACTCCATCTCCACCAACCACGGCGCATTGATCGGATGATACTGCACGTTGACCACGCTGGCGTTGACGAAGAGGGTCTCCTGGCCCGGGTTCAAGGGCATCATGCTGGCCTTGCTGACGTCGACGCGGGCGCAGTGCTCCTCGCGCGTGCGCGGCTGGTCGCACTGGATGATGGAGTCGTTGCCCGTGCTCCACTCGCGGCGCATGGCGCCGTACCCCTCATGGATGTGGCCGAAGACGTGCAGCCGGGGCCGCGCCCGCCTGACCGCGCGGTACAGGTGCTCGCACCCGACGCTGACATGGTTGGGCACGACGTGGTCCAGGATCCCGTACGGCGGGCCGTGCGTGATCACGATGTCGATGTCCTGGCCGTCCGGGATGGGCGCGGGGGCCACGAACCCGCCGCGCCCGGAGTTGGCCGCGATGGCGCCGCGCGCGCCCTCGCCGCGCGAGCCGGTGCTGCCGTGCGTGCGGGGGCGTTCGCGGGTTGCGGCGGCGGTGGTTTCGTTGGGTTGCGCCTGTGCCTCCGGGTGGTGGTGGTGGTTGTGCGCATGGCCGTTTGTATGGTGGTGATGGTGATGATGATGATGATGCTCCTCCGTGCGAGTTCCGATTGCCGGATTCCCATCCACACCGGCACCATCCTCCTTCCTCCTGCCCTCAGCAGTCCCCGGCGACGACGAAGAAGAAGAAGAAGAAGAAGAGGCAGAAGAAGCCGAAGCCGAAGCAGGCGGATTGAACCGATCCACGCCGCGCTCATACCCAAACGCCCACTGACAGAACTCCGGCGTCCAGCTGGACGCATACACCTTCAGCCGTCTCTTCTTCTTCCCACCATCCCCTGGTAACTCGAACTCATGCACCCCCTCCCCCAACAACCGGATCCCGGCATCCCACGCCTCCGGACCGGTATACAGCCGGCGAATCGCCTCGGGATCCTCCAAGTGGCCCGGCTCCGCCTTGCCCGAGCTGATGTTCGCCGCGGACGCCGTCGCCGACGGCGCCGTGTGGTCCGTCCGGTTGCGGTGGCGGTGGTGGCCCAGCGACTCGTAGTAGGGCGCGTCGAAGGTGATGTCGTGATTGCCCGGAATGACGAGCTTGAGGCGCGCCGGGTGCGATTTCAGGTACGACAGGGTCGTGAGGTGCTCGTGGCGGCGCGAGACTTTGGTGAGGTCGCCGGCGTGGATGAGGATTTCGGCGGCGGGGAGGGGCTCCAGGAAGGCTGGGGGTGGGGTGGAGGACTCGTGGTCGCGGGGATGTGATGAGGAGGGGGAGGAGGAGGAGGTTGTCGGCGGTTGCGGGGTGAGGGTGTGCGTGTCGCTTAGGAGGAGGAGGGTGGTTTTTTCGGTGGGTTGTTTGCGGTTCATTGTTTTTGCTGGCTGGGGGTTGCGGTTGGATCGTGGGTGGTGACGTTTTCTCTTTGAGTATGGGTGGTGGTGGGTGGTGAGTTGAAGATTAGAGGTATGTATGTGTTGGTGGGATTGGGGTTGTATGTAGTTGGATGGATGTTGGAGATATGGTGTGATTCAGTGGCTGGTGGATGGAAAGTGGGTTAAACCAGGATTTGTTATTCTAGGGAAGGAAGCGGGAATTACATACCGGGAAAAGAGGGGAGGAGAGGGGAAAATTATATCATCGATGGGGGTGGTTGATGGAGTATAACAGTGAAGGAGGGAGTATAAGATGAGAGAAAAGGACCGCGCGGGTGAAGTCTCTCTTTCGTCATCAGACGATCAACCCAGTGTGCCTGCTACACTACTACACTACAACTACACTAACACTAACACTAACACTAACACTTACACCAAGGCTAAGTCCGACCAGGCAACCTACACTTCACTACCTTGACTCTACTTATTCTATCTCTTCACAGTCTTCTGCCTGCTACTGAAACCCCAGTATCATCAAATCTGAACTTTGCATAATTCATCCATTGCTCAGAGCTACCAGTTCATTACATTGCTAACTCCGAAGAATAATAATTCATTCCCTGCCCGAAGACCACCACCAGCCACACAGCGCGCGCGACGAGATATCCATTTTTTGTAAAATTTTATGAAATTGGGGAAAAAATTTTATATGAAGTAAACACGACGCTTACTTGCGGATAGCACGCTGGTAGAAAGCCAACTCGTCACCCTCGAGGATGTAGCCGTCCACGCGGCCGCTCTGGCCGGGGCGGGAGGAGACAACGGCGTAGAGGCGACCGGACTCGAACTGCTTCTCAACGGCGCCCTCGACCTTGCCGTGGTCGGCGAAGCGAGCAGCCTGCTTCTTCTGGACGCTGTTGCTCTTCTTCTCCTCGGTGACCTCGGCGGTCTTCTGCTGGCGTCTGCGGCCCAGGGGCTGGCCGTAGTGGGCCTCGTACCATTGACGGAAGGGGGCGGCATCGATCTGGACAACGGCGGACTTGGTCAGGGTGTTGGTGCGGACCAGCTCGTTGTTGGAGGGGTGGTAGGCCACGACGATGACACGGGTCTTGCGGGAGACACCCTCGGAACCCCAGGAGAAGTTGCCGGAGTCGAGACGGAGGGCACGGAACTTCTGGTTGCCACCGCGGGTGCGGACCAGGTGGATTCTCTTAGCACCGATACGGGTGTTGGCGGCCTGGCGACCCTTCTCGAAGGCTCTTGAAGTCGACCACTGTCAGTACCACTTCTTGGGGCGGGACTTCGCGACTGGGTGTGTTGCATACCTCTTCTTGCGGTAAGTGGCCCGCTTGGCACCGGTGGCCGAGCGCTTGTGGCGCGAATCACGAGAGATACCCATATTTGCTGATCGTGGGGACTGAACCAAGACAGATGATTAGTGACCTTGTTTCGTAGAGAGCTGGATGCGATATCCCTTTCTGTGCAAGCCACAGAAATTCTTCCTTCGTTCCTCAAAAGTCTCGTATTTGATGTCGTCGATTGGGTGTGTTAGAGCGAGCAAGCAAGTAATCAATCAAGCGTCCAATTTGTTGTCGTCGAAGAGGCGATGAGTCGAAAGCAGGAAAGAAGAAAACTGATGTTGCACTGGTGCGATCCAACCGAGTGCAGATAGACGGAGCAATCGATCACAAGAAGACTTATCGATTATAAGGATATAAAAAAATCTTCTTGTACCGGCCTCCTTGCAAATCGTGGATTGATATTTTCACCGCCAATTCTCCTGTCGTCGGATTCTTGCTCCCCCGTTCTTTTGATAACGGCCTTCACTTCGAGATTCGAGATCGAGACTTGCACGCGCACCAACCGACGTTGTCGAAACGAGACCGGAGAAACAGAGAGAAAAAAAATCCAGAGCTTCAAGAAAGGGATCGCAAATGCTCAAAGAGACTGTTGCAATAAACTCACCTCTAATCCTGCAGCCCTTCACCAGGAACGCAGCGGGCAAGGGTCGATGGGGTTGGTCGAAAGAGTTGTTGATGCTGGTCGTCGACTGTCTCGTGAATTTCGCACTGTGGCTCGCTTGTTGGGGGGAGACACTTGCCCTACCCCGGGCTAGGCTGCATGGGGCTAGTCGCGTCAGGTGATGTGCTGAGTCATTCCGCCTCTCGCCAGGCGGTTTTCGGACACACTGAGTGTCGGTCCGCGGTCTTATCTAATCGGCTGCCAAGACCCCGTGACAATGGCCACGGCCACTAGCCCTATCTCGGTAGTTTTGCGCTAAGCTTGAAACGGGCTTCCCAGCAGAAGAGAGCATTGCAGAGGGCAAGGAGCACGGCCGGACAAGCACCGCAGTGTGGACAAGACTACCAGAGTACTTACAGTATCTCGATTCGTACTGGGTACTGTAGCATAGCCTATCTACCTGTACCTGAGACCTTATCATAAACACCACCCACGCTCAATCCTCCCATCCCACCCACCCACTCCAACCCCTGTAAATACTCAACAGCCCTACTTCTTCGCCTCCTCCTCGCGCACCAACCGATCAAACCGCTTGAAGCCCTGAAACCCCTCGACTAGCGTCGACAGCACCCACGCCCACCACACCGCGGACCCCAGCGCGACCCCATGCTTCCGTAGCCGCGTGTACGCCAGCACCGACGCCTCGAACGCGTGCACGACCAGCGTAAACGCCAACACCGCCGGCTGCATCCGGGCGCAGAACCCCGCGAACCCCCGGGGCCACCACCACCCGGTCTCCAGCCGCAAGCCCTCGTACACCCACCCGCCCGGCAGCAGGTTCTGTTGGCGGCTGAACGCCAGGATCCCCGAGAGACAGATCAGGAAGGCGAGGACGTCGCCGGGCCGGGACGGCACACGGTAGGTGGTGATCTGGATGTCGGAGAGGCGGAGCCGCTCCAGACATTCCTTGTGCATGGCGACGAGGCGGGCGCGGGTCTCGCTGAAGGATTGCAGCGGCGGGTCCAGCGCCACGGTGTAGCGGTTGCCGTTGTTCTTGGTGCGGATGACGAGGTCGGAGAGCGTGATGGTTTCGAGGGTCGCGGTCGAGGCCTCCGCGGCGGAGACGCCGTTGTACGCGCGGAGGTAGTAGGCGAGGGAGTCTTGGTGGTTGGCGTTCATGTGCGTGATGGTGAAGGATATTCCGTTGTTGTTTTTCCCGGCGGAGGAGGAGGAGGAGGAGGAGGGAGATGATGATTGGGGTTGTGGAGGAGTCATTTTGTTTATGGCCGTTCTTCCTCGCTCCTCTGGTTTCGACTCGGATTATAGGTAAGTCGGTCACTCGATGGGAGAAGCCACAAGGAGCGGTCTGTGAGTTGTGTCTATATACTACTCAACGAACGGTGAATCACGTGAATAGGATATGTAGTGGTGGTAAATGTGGTAGGACACTGTTGGACATGAAAATGAGTGACTTTCCTGAGACGATGGAAGGGACTCCCTTTTGCGATGCCAAGAATCCAGAGGGGCCGCCGGAGACCTCGGGCTAAAAGTCACCCCATGCTTCGCATGTGTTTTCCCCGTGCTACCCCATTTATGGGTTCTTGCATTCGACTAATATGGATTATGCTGTCTTCTTTGTGTTCTTGTGTTCACAACAGTTGAGCGGCAGATTTGTCTTCTTCTCACTCTCGGATGGTCTCCAGTTTTCAAGGTTGTTGGCTCGACATACGCCAAGCCATTGTATAGTTGAAGCCCGCACCACTTAGGGGACTCCAGCGATGCGGCGGTGTCTCAGAGCATCACAACTATGCTGTGAAGATAACCCTGGGATACTATGTGACAGGGTCACAGACCATTGGTCAGCCAACGGCAAGCCTGCTAACTCTATGAATTGATGCCAGCTTGGTTCACACACGCATCCTTGTCATCAAAGATAGACATATGCAGGCGGTCCCCTATGCATGCTACACGAGCGAGGATCGATCATACACCGTGCCAAGGTCCGGATGCATTGACTTGAGATAGAATGTTACATTTACCGCTATAACGCAAAATGACCGACGATGGGAGTATAATTATGCACAATAAACACTAGCCAAGACTCTATGAGAACAGCTGGACAACACAAAGAATAGAGCGACAGTAATCAACCAGTCAGGTAAAGATCCTTTCATAAATCGTCGTAACGCGACAAGCACAGGGCGGCGGGAACGGGATGTTTTGCGATGGCGAGGAAACTCTCGAGAAGAAATTCAGAGGGAAGGGTCGCTCTCGAAGCACAACAGAATCGAATCGGTGGGAGAGCATGTCGGATCATGCGCTGCGTTCATCAAAGAAAAAATCGTCAATCCGTCAGGTTCTATTTCAGTTGCTTAAGCGGAGTCCAACGGGAGTTTTTGTGGGGGGGGGGGGTTGTTGTTGTTGTTGTTGTTGTTTTCCCGGGGTTGCCGGGTCGGAAAACCCCCGAGGACTCTCTCATAGGAAAGATACCTCGAAGGTTCTCTTCGAGGCGAACCACAAGAAAACAGACAAGCACGAGAGAAAGGAGGGAGTTCGGGGGTATAGTGCAGGGATGGGGAGTCACTTACAGCAGAGCCAATGTCAAATCACCGTGGATGCGAGCCTTCAGCTCAACCTCGATCTCCAAGTTCAGTTCCAACTTCAGGCGCATACCCTCCTCATCTGCGCCCTTCTGGTCGTTCGAGGGTGCCGGATCCATTGCGCCGTTGGAGAGGTTCTTGTTGTCACTGCTGCTTATCGTAGTGGGCTGCCAGCGCTCCATCGCTTGCACAGCCTCTTGCTCATCATCGTCATATTCATCGTCGTAATCATCGTCATCGTCGTACTCGTCCGACGCATAGTCGTCCGAGTACTCTGCATCGTCATCGTCATCGTCGTAAGTCTGGCCTTGGGCCTGAGGTCGCCGGCGACGCTGGGCCGTCTGCTTCTGTTGCTGCGGTGCTTGATCTTCCTCTTCCTCGGAGATATAGTCATCCGAGTCGTAATCAGTCTCCGAGTCGTCAGGGTCGTTCGTGTAAGTGGGCTGTTGAGTCTTGGGTTTCTCGGCTTGTGCGGTGGCCATAGTGTATGTTCGTTGCTGTTTGTTGGTGCAGGGAAGCGGCAATTATAGCGTAGAAGGGCGGTTGCAACAATCTGGTCAAATTGCGTTTATACTACTCTGTATATCTGTGTGTATCTTCCGAGGGATTAAGTGTGGCTAGTGCCTAGGCGCGTCAGGTCAACGACGAGTATGAGTATGTAATCAAGCAAAACGAGAGAAAGGGAAAAAAAGAGGAATAGAACGAGCCGGAGCGACAATGGTGGGTTTACATACGAGACGGCACAACACCGATGGGACGGGACTGACAAGTGGAAGGCGAATCGTCGGAGGGCAGAGGGTCGAAGAATGAAAGAGACGAATAGGGTGAGTGGTACGAGCAAGTGGTCTGTGAGGAAGGACAGGTCTGGCAATGAAGCAGGCGTAATGGGCCAGGAAACACTGCAATCTTTTCGCATGACCGACTGGAGTAGTCAAGCGATATGACGTCTGAGGGGCAGGGAAGGAGAGCCAAAGAAGCGCCTCCGCACCACGGGCATCAACGACATCATCGTCGTCGCAGCGTCGCTCCAGCTTTCAGGTCAGGCGATTCCTGATCGGCCGAGCCACGTTGTCTGGACCCTCGTTTGAGGACGCAAGGGGTGATGATGGTGGTGGTGGTGGTGGGGTTACAATGACCACCGAATGAATTCATCGTCATCATGGGGGGGGGAGGTTTTGGAGAGAGAAGTACGTAGACTGTACTGATTGTACATCACATTTTGATAGAGTTGACTGAGAGAAGTACACGTTAGTACTCATACGTAGTACGTACCGGAGTATAGTTAGTGTGACCATCGGGTAACCAGAATCGCCCTGTACTCGGTACCTGGAAATGGCAGAGGTACGGCCGAGAGAAGAGCCATGGAAAAGTGCACTGCGGGTCATTCCAAGAGGTCAGAAGAAGAGGCAAATCGGCACTGCGTATCCGATCTTGACACATTCCATTCTGACTTCTATCAACTAATATGTGCTACGAAAAGCGGCAATTCACGAAGCGATTCCCAAGTACTAAACCTCCAGAGGTATACTGTACCTGTGGTAACAATGAAGGGTATTGTCCGTGTAATCCATGACATCTCTAGCCGTTGAAGAGTGACGTCTGTTGGCGTCATCCACAGTGACTGGAACGGGCATAAGTTGGTGGAGACACACGGCACAAGTCAATCAAACAATAAATAGCATATTGTCCGATACCTTCTTCCTATTGGGTCATTGGGTATGCCATTGGCAATGAACAAGAAGAACAAAAGGCCCCTGTCACTGTCAAAAAAACACTAACTCCCCCTCCCTCCTCAGCAATCGACGTCATCATCCCCAGCCCTGGCAGCAAAAGGAAAAAAAAAAAA